ACAAGAGCTTAAGAACGAGAGTAAGGCAGTGATTTGAATCGTCAACTGGAACGCTAACAGTGCCGCTATATTTGTACCTGAAAATGAAGCTTGTTTTTGTGATCATGAGTTTTTAGAAGTTTTATGATAGTATTTTAGAAAATCAACAACGAAATACATAAACACATTAGCACAAATTACAATGAAAAGTTTATTAGACAAGATTTGGTAACAAACCTAAAAATCCAGATATAAATATAACGGCAAAGTGGTGAATGAAAACAATGTAACGCATGTCCGTTGTCAATTGAATGACGTTGCATGGTTGTATTTTATCTTGTTTGCTTGGTTTAGCTAACATATTTTTTTTACCTATCATAAATAACTACTATATGAGTTGACGACTATTTCAAATGTGTCTTCCTTTGTGTCTATGTTTGCGTCTACTTTAATGTCCACTTTTATAATTACCAATGTGTCGATCTTTGTAGTTACATTTCTGTCTACCTTTATGTCTACATTTATGTCTACCTTTATGTCTACTTTTGTGTCTACCTTTATATATACTTTATGTCCACATTTATGTCTACGTTTATGTCTGCCTTTATGTTTACCTTTCTGTCTGCCTTTATGTCTACCTTTATAATCACCAATGTGTCGATCTTTCTAGTTACCTTTCTGTCTACCTTTCTGTTCACCTTTATTCCTGCCTTCATAATTACCTATGTGTCTATCTTTCCAGTTACCTTTCTGCGTATTTTGCTGTTGAACGTATGAAAACATCAGAACATCAGGATAGAAAGTTTCCTACATAAATACATGATTACACGACACACGAATATTACTACATCAACAACACTTTTGAAATTTCATCTATCGTCGTTATTTTATGAGACAACATGAAAGACATTAAAAAAATTTTTTTTTAAAGAACACATCTTTTCAACGCTTTTTTCCTCGTTATTTCTACCTTCGTATCTTATTAAAAAAATAGTCATTTCACAGGAGACAACATTAAAGAAAGACGTGTAGATAATTAACTTTGCAAATAACATAAGTAAAATATTTTCCATCAACATACACATCAACCCCTTATTTTAAATTCCTATTATAACTGCCTTATAAATTTGTATTTCATTAACTTTGTTAACCATGACATTCTTTAAGTCGTATAGTGTGTAGTAAGAAATGCATTTGTTACATGGTTAATTGTAAAAATATTGGTCATGTTTTAAGGTGACGATTTTAATTACGGATTGAATGAAGTCACCATTTTGGCTTTAAATCAATACTGGAAATCGTTGGAATAATGTACATCTTTCATAATAAAAAAAATGTATTAATGAAATAACGACCGTGAAAGAAATTTTAAAAAGTGTCAAATCAATGTATAGTACTGTGATTCATGTATTCATGTAATAATGCAGTCAACTTTCTATCATGATGTTTTATACGTTCAACATAAAAAAATCATAGAAATAATGACAGTCGAACTTGTGCATTGTCATTATTTACTATACGACAATGCCATAAACTGTGCACAATTTATTTGTCTTCTTCTTTCAAGTTATGAAGTAAATTGTCTAAGATAGCAATAGTTCTATACAGTGAGTACCAAGTAAATCCCTTTCTTCGTCTGTAAAATGATTGTGACGAAACATTGCCTAAACATACAAAATTCTTAGTTATAAAAGAACACAATACTGTTATTTTGTGCATTTAATTCATATTTTTAACTTGTTTAAGATATCTTTCTGTAAAGTGATCTAATTTCCATGCTTTAAAACAAACTTTTTTTTAAATCTTTCCAATATTGAAAAATAGTAGTTTTGTGAGTCATAATGTATGTTGTTATTCTTGACTAGAATGTGCGAGCTGTTGAAAACCGTACAAAGTTGCGAGCCTTGCTTCATGGCCACAGTTTTCAGATGGTCATTATTGCTTTTGTCCTGTTGGAATTCCTGATTGTATTAGTTCAGCTACTGATGGACATTCAAATAGTTAGAGGAGGCGAGTGATTGGAAACATGTTTTCAACTCTATTTTGCTTGACATTTATTTATCGTATGGATGACTTGCTGTGTTCACGTTTAGTTTGCAGGTTGATTTGGTGAAGTGCTTTTAGGTAACACTATCAACAATGCTCTTACTCCATTGAGATAAATATGCCTAACAGCTAAACGTAAACAAAGCAAGTTATCTTTGATCTTTTTTTTGCAGTTCACCATTATCACGTAGCTATTGAAATTTTCCATTGTGTAAGTATGGTCGTTTTAAGATTGTTCCTTATTGATGTTAGCTTTGATTGGGAATCTTTGCAATCATTGAGGTCTACGAATATCTGAGAATTCCAAACTCAACCTTATAATTTCTTAACATGCTTGTTATATCATTTTAAGATCGTTGTGACGCTCTAAGCTTTTGACGTATAATTTTTTCATCACAAACTCGAGTTGCTTAAAAAAATCTACTTAACAAAGTCCATTTTGTTCAATGCCGCTGCATTTCAGTACTTCCATGTTGTTGATATTTTTTGTCTTCTTTTGATACATACAGCATTGAAATAACTTATGGAAATACGTTACGAATGTATCAAACAATAAAGCAGCGTTAGTTTATTTCCTCTGAAGTTGAAACACATCTATCTACTCAACATTTGCATGTTAATATTAATATCAGAGATAGATAATTTACACAATTTAAGCTTAATACTTAGTGTGAAGCCTTTGAGCTTTACACAGCTCTTTCTCACGATTGGGGACACTGGGATATAAACTCTTAATAAACGTAAGTGGATTGTTTTCTTAGATGTCCTAAAGCACATCCCATAGTTGTTGTAAGTTTGTTGGAACTTGCTTTAATTTTCCGTCTCCATATAAATCCAAACCTGCTCAATCATGTTCATATCAGGACCCTGAGCAGGCCAATTCAGAATGGTGAAGATGCAATCACGCGTCTTGTTCTCCATGCACTGTTTGATTACCCAAGCTGTGCCCTTGAGGTGGTTGTCCTGTTGGAGAATGAAGTTTTCACAAATAAGAGCCCTTCCGGTAGGAGCAGCGTGATGGAAAAGTATCTGCGTATACATAGCTTCTGTCAGTATCTCAGTGATTTTGTACAGCCTTCAACCCCACTGTAGGTTATACAGCCCTGACTTAAAGTTATCTTCCACCATTTTTTACATTTGACAAAATACAGTTAGCGTTGTATCTCTTTCCTCTACGTCGACGAACGTACTGTCGCAACTTTTTTCCAAACAATTCAAACTTTTTTTCGCCTTTAAACATTACATTTCCTCACTGCTCAAGTGTCCATCTTTTGTGATATATTGCCCCATAACAGCCTTTTTTTTTTGTTACCATTTCGGAGCAAAGGTTTTCGTACAGCTAAATAACCTCCTAGACCTAAAGCCGTCAAAGTTTTTCGAAAAACTCTTTGAGACGCTATATTTCCCTGTTGCATTTTTAAGAGTTTGCCTTAGCTCTTTACTGGACTTTCGTCTGTTTCTTAAGGATGTCCTTTTCAATTACTGTTCATCTGACTTAGAATTGTTTTTCTTCCTACTGCATCCAGGATTATTTTTGGAATTGCAATTTGTTTATAGCGCTGAGCACATTTTAAAACCGTGCTTGCTAAAAGTGCTATTTGGTTTGCAATCTGCCGGTATGAACACCTTCGTCATGCAAAACTTTCATCCGTGCCCTCTCCACTTGGGATGTTTCCATCGTTGGTGCCATTAAGGTTTCTATATTGTTACCAACACCGGGTAACTGGTACAATTTATATATTGAGCATGACTTTTATCGTTACGGTTTTTCTTACAACAGCTATCTAACTATTTAACTCGTCCATTTTTTCATCACTGTAATAGTTTTTATGGTTTAACTCGGTCACAGTTGTTATTTATTACAAATTTTTTGGTGTTTCCATAATTATTAAAATGCTGTAGGGCTTTGATGCTATTGTGGACTGTGTTTCATTTGCATTAAATGTGGCATACAGGTGTGGAAACCATTTGAGCTACTTCATTATCACATAGATCACTCCCTTACAAGCAATGCTAATTCACTGCCATTGAGAGTGCTTTGCCCTTATAAAAACTCCATTATTTACAGTTCTAACAAAAAATATTAACATGGTTATAGAAATTCCAGCTTATATCATCTTTCACTTATAATTGGTTAACATAAAACAACCCCCCTAGTGGTAGGCCCAAGAATGTGTTTTGATACATATAACAACTGGTATGCCACCATTTGTTATTGAATATAAGGTAGTACACGGCCCTTAGATGTTACTGCAGCTTCCCTAACACCCCAAGCTAGTAGTGGGCTTTCACGACTTTTACGGCTTTGGATAGTCATGATTGTAAACGGTCGGTATGTTTATCGATTATAATTAGGAAGCTTCATTTGTTGATTCTGTTTTGGTTTACAAAGTGGGTTTTTGATTTCCTAATCTGTTTGGTTGTTTGAGAGATGGATCTGTCTGTGAAAATTGAAATAGACCACAAAATATATAACGTAAAGAAAAGAAACAGATCACTTGCAAATGCAAGGGAACAACTACAAGATGAAATGTGAAGAACAAGAGGTACCGAACAAAATCTTTCTTTATCATTACTTGAACGATTGTCTTCTAAAAGATTTCCTTTTGATATATTTGACATAAAAGTGGTTAGAAACATGACTTAAAACCTTGTTTTATGTATTTTAATTATTGGATATCTTCTTTTACAGAAAGAGATGACCAAGCTTCAAATTGAACTTCAAAAAGATGAAAAAATATAGGCAAATCTTGACTAACCAAGACCTGATGATATATAATTAAAACAATATAAATATTTTTGATTCTCATATAACACGTACATGCAATATACATATAATAAAGATGAATGCTTTGGTCAGTCACACTTATGTAGAAATGTATAAAAATTTTTAGTACAAAGATATGACCTTAAAAGAGGTTTTGTCTTAAACTTTCCACTTTTCGAATACTTTTTATATCACCAATTTGCGTTTGTATGATTAATAGTAGAAATTTGTTTATTAAAATTTGAATTCGAAAGGATTTTTTACTCAATACATTCGTTTGTTCACAATTACTATTTAGATTTCATAAGATAATTAAATAGTGAGAAAATCGGTGAAGTTTATCATTGTTACATTTTGTATTGCTTGCAGTAAATATATGTTTACAAATCAAATTATACTTTTACTGTAAACAATGAATTAACATATAGCTAAGTACACATATTTCAAAGTTTTTTTTAAATTAAGGAATGTTTATATAAAAGAAAAGTGCCAAGATGTATAAAATTTCGCTTACTTTTTTCATAAAACATATAAAAGTTTAAATAATAAACCTTAAATCAGGAAGTGGAATGGTTATAGATATGCATTAAGAGTTCGAGCTCGAATACTAGTCAAAGTACTGTTCAGAAGTTCACACTTTTCACTTTTCAATGCTTCATTAAGATATTTAGCAGCTTCCCTACTTATATTTTCACCCGTTATATACAATTCAGAAAGTTTACAATTCTTACTTTTTAATGCTCCACTAAGATATTTAGCACCTTCATCACCTATATTGCGGCAACTCATTATCAATTTAGTAAGTCGACAATTTTTACCTTTTAATGATTCACTAAAATATTTAGCACCTTCATCACCTATATTGCTGCAACTAATTTTCAACGTAGTAAGTTTACAATTATTACTTTTCAATGCTTCACTAAGATATTTAGCACCTTCATCTCCTATGTTGTGGCCACTCATTACCAACTTAGTAAGTATACAATTCTTACATTTCAATGCTTCACTAAGATATTTAGCACCTTCATCACCTATATTGTGGCAACTCATTACCAACTTAGTAAGTTTACAATTCTCACTTTTCAATGCTTCACTAAAATATTTAGCACCTTCATCACCTATATTGCTGCCACCCATTACTAACTTAGTAAGTTTACAATTGTCACTTTTCAATGCTTCACTAAGATATTTAGCAACTTTATTACCTAAGTTGACGACTCTCGTTACCAACTTAGTAAGTTTACAATTCTCACTTTTCAATGCTTCACTAAGATATTTAGCACTTTCATCACCTAATTTGCCATATTCAAGATGCAATTCTGTAAGTATGCAATTCTTACTTTTCAATGCCTCACCAAGATAACAAGCATCTTCATCGCCTATATTGCTGGCTCTCATTACCAACTTAGTAAGCTTACAATTCTTACTTTTCAATGCTTCACTAAGATAATTAGCACTTTTATCACCTATATTGCTGCCTGTCATTACCAACTTAGTAAGTTTACAATTCTCACTTTTCAATGCTCCACTCAAATACTTAGCACCTTCATCACCTATATTGCTGCCACTCATTACCAACTTAGTAAGTTTACATATCTCACTTTTCAATGCTTCACTAAGATATTTAGCAACTTCATTACCTATATTGTTGAATCTCATTACCAACTTAGTAACTTTACAATTCTCCCTTTTCAATGCTTCACTAAGATATTTAGCACCTTCATCACCTATTTTGTCATAATTTATATGCAATTCAGTAAGTATACAATTCTCACTTCTCAATGCTTCACTAAGATAATTAGCATCTTCATCACCTATATTGTTGGCACTCATTACCAGCTTAGTAAGTTTACAATTCTTACTTTTCAATGCTTCACTAAGATATTTAGCACCTTTGTCACCTATATTGCTGTCTGTCATTACCAACTTAGAAAGTATACAATTCTTACTTGTCAAAGCTTCACTAAGATGCTTCCAAAAACAATTGCCTAAAGCACTTAAAAAAAAGGTTAAACTAATCAAGTTTTTTGCTCCCTTATTTAACAAATAGTTTTTCATTGGAAGACAGCTATGATTATCAAGAAATGAGCATTTTTTAAAAGAAAGTCCAGTTATGTGTTCACATTCAGAAAGAAATTCAAACAATGCATTTGAATCAACAGGCGTAAAAGAAACTCCAACAATCCACGTTTCTTGAGAAAACTTCTCCAATTCTGTGCAAGCTGACCTCATGACATCTTTGTCCTGCAACTCGTACAGGCACTTTACTCCAAGAAAACCAAGCACTTTATCTCCAGAGAGGGAAAATATGTTTGAAATCCAATTTTTAAATCTACAAATTTAAAACACAAATACTATTTTTAAGCCGTTTTTTTTGTTCAAGAAAATGTTGTAGTCTATGTGGCTAATGTTGCAAGACATAAATTTGATTTGTTAAAGCAATAATTCAAGGCCGTTTTAAACATCCTAATTTACATCTGGTAAATGCATTCAAAATGAATAAAAAAGAAGATGAAGATTATGTGCAATGAAAATGCAGCATAAAAACACCGAAAATTCAAGATAGCTATTTTGTTCTCAAGGTAATGTTTATAAATTTCTAATTACTTTTTAATGTAAAAATCAAATTATTTTTTTCAACAGACCATACGAACGATATGTTATGATCTTATTCTATTTATTCAATATTCATTATTTATTTTACAATTATTAAGCAGTATATTTAGCAAGAGTTGACATATGAAGAGTATTCATAAAATTTCCTTTAGATTTGGGTTAGTGGTCTTTACTTAAAACAGGTCTCTTAAGAACTATTAACTTATTGCTTTTACTATTCACAATAGTATTTGCTATCTTTAAAACGATAATATGTTCAATTAATTAATTAGAGAGAGAGAGTGAGAGAGAGAGAGAGAGAGAGAGAGAGAGAGAGAGAGAGAGAGAGAGAGAGAGAGAGAGAGAGAGAGATAAGTTTGTAACCAGAGCACACAAAGCGGGCAATGAGAATGGAGCGGCAAATGAACAGTCTAGAAAGCCTTCAAAAGAAACTGAATGGGCTATAGGTAAAATCTCATATGAGCAAGGCTAGATGTAGACATGTAGTAATTTAACAATTATCTTCTCAATTTAAATACAGTTTTCAAAACCTTTTAAATGTTATTAACTGGATCGCGAGTTTCTTAACGCTGATTTCCATCAACTTAAAAATATACGTATAATTTTACAAAAAAATCGCGAGGAGAAAAGCACAAGATTGATAGTAGTTTAGAGATGTAATGCGTATGGGATATTAAGCAACGTTAATTAGTTCTTCCCAACAAGAAAAAACTGTTATCACGCTAAGAAAACCAGACTTCATTCTCTTCACCCGAAATTAAACATGCTGATGTGTCATATTTTCGGGACCCTTCAAGAGATGCTCAGAAGAAATTCTATATTTTATCTTGTCCTCCTGGAGAATAAGCAAACAGAAACAGTACGCACCGTATCTCAAAACTTAGCTCTGGTACATTTGTATGTAGAAGTTGGACTTAATTTTGGCAGCTGCAGAGAATGAGCATTTTTTGGCTTTACTCTTCAACAAGAAGGGCGCTGAATATATAGTGCTGAATAAACAACTCATTGTGCATTGTTATCTGTATTTACACTGCTAAGCAATCAAACATTTCTTTGTAAGTTCAGAACTTTGCGCTTCACAGGCCAGGAGAAACTTTGTCCGGTCGCTCTTATCGAAGGGTACTTCAAACGAACAGTACACTTACGAGGCTCTCAAAATAGAATTTTTTTTAGTTACTAAAAACCCATGATAACGTTTCTACATAAACCGCCAGCTGATACTAACTCATAGATGCATCTATATATGCTGCTCACAACACGGCAGCCACAACATCTAGTCCGGTCATCATAAGGTTTAACCCTCCATAAATTTCAACAGAAGGTGCTTTAATGTTAGTTACCTTAAAAGATCTGAAGCAACATATTAAAAGTCCTATTAAAACCTATTTTTGGAAAAGCTCCAAAATTGTCCTTTTGTACGTAGAAAATTCAAGGAACATTCGCATCAGAAATGTCTTTTTATGGCTAATATTGCCCGATTTCACAATTAAATTTGGACATTTTTATTGATAAAAAAGGTTTTCGGTTCAAAAGAAATTGAGGAGGATACGCGTATTATAATTGTATACATTGATTGAACTTTTGATTTTCGAAATCTATATATATAATTAGATTAAATTGTTATTTAATGAATTCAAATACTATTGTAAATATATAAAATACAAACGTAATAAAAAACATTTCAAAGTTCAAAGCTCATCATCGTTGTCTCTAGTCTGGTCAGAGGCATCATAAGACAAATTGGCGCAGCTTGAGCATTTACAGTGTCCACAAACAACTGAACATAGTAATCCATGCTTTCGGACCGAGCATTTGAGTGTATCACATCCATTTTGCAGTTACAGCGTATGATCTGTAAAGGCAGTCTGCTGCAGGTAGAAGATTAGTCATTAGTGGAGTCAGTGTAGTTGTCTCGTAGCTTCCAACCCCATTTTTCAACATCAATTTTGTTACCACGCCGAAGCTGAACATGACAAAACACGCGGTAGCTGTAATATTTTGTAGCTTCAAATGTCGGGGGAAGGTTTTTTCTGCTCGATTTTTCTTCTCTTATGAGCTAGCATTTTTCTTAACATATGTATCGCATATGGTCTATACTCTGTCCTACTTTTCCATTGTCCAGTATGACAAGTGCATGAAAATGTTAAAGCAATCAAATTAAACGTATAAGATAAAAAAATATAGGAGGTCTGTGTAATCTCTAACAAGTATGGTAGATTTTGATTTAGCACACACAATTTTTGTTTTCGCAATTAGTAAATCAGCCTCACCATTTGCATGTGTCTTGCAATTATATTTTCTTAGATGGCAAGTTCAAGAAATATCTGCTTGTTCTTTTGTTTTGATAGGAAGATATCTTTTTTGAGACTAATCTTTATTTCTTCAGTTAAAAATACCATTGGAGCTGTCTTTCCTAATGACTTTTTTATCTGCGTCATCTGCTTGGTAGATGTGCTGCCTATACTCGTCATTGACAATAATAGCTTTTCGATATTTTTAGCTACGTAATGACAATATAAAAGACATACTCCTCTGTAGGTTGCAGACCCTGGAGATGGCCAAATTAGTCAGTGCAAAAGTGCTCCTGTGTTTAAAACATATTGCCAGGCTTTTTCACTACCTGGGCTTTAACTTAGGTTTCATGAGAAAGTATAGACCAAATGGCATCAGCCAAAACTGGCTTGTTAGGTTTCAATAGCATCAAAGAAGAATCAAAAAAGGAAGAAGGACACGTACACAGTTCATAGCGAAAGAGTGATATGAGATCGACTTGTACCTACATATCACCTATCTTTACAGCAGATTTTGTTGCCAAAGTTACAGCATGGTTTTTTCTTTTGAACTGGTACTCGAAAGGCGACCTATTCTTCATTAAAGAAAGAATCTTCTCTCTTGTAGTCTTTGCCTTTGTCCATTGACTCCAATTATGATATTTAATTCTTAATTTTAGGTCTTTAGAAAATGGGTTGTGCTCTTGAAGGCAGTAAAGATTTTCAGAGTATCCTTTTTGTCTCTCTCTCTTCTTGCATGAGTAACATCCTTATCTTGTTCACCAGAGGTATAGTTTACAACTGTGTATTCTTGCATCAACCGACTGACTTCAGCAGTAGCAGGCATCACCACAAGCCATGCAAGCCGTTGCTGCTCGGTCATACCTCTCCCCCTCGTTAAACCGCCGCTGGTCTTTAAATTACGCATCAACACTTGTTCGATGACAAGGTAAGTCGGGAGACCTACCCAGAGTTTACTAGATTCCACTTCTTCCTATGAAATCTTTTTTTCCAGTGGTAGCTCAAAAAGAGAAAGTGCTTCTGATAAAATTTTGCAGCCTGTTTTCAAAGTATAATTAAATGAAGATAAAATATGGCATCTAACTTTTAATGTTTCATACCAATCGAAAATTTCTGTTTTACATCGATTTTAATGCTCTGAGCATGAAATTTTTAATCAGATCTTATATTAATCATTTCACTTTTAATGCTCATTGCGTTGTTATTTAAGAAGCCAAGAAACCTTTCCAATACAATTTTGCAAGCAAACCAGTGTTACTTAATTCAAAATTGAATTTGCATCTATACCTCTTGTCTCTTCATATGGTATGTTGCCCTACTCCTTGCTTGAGCTTTCTGTGATTTCTTGATTACTTTCATTGTCATTGAGAGAAAATGACCTAAAATATTACATAATTACAGTAATGCTACCTATATTATGGAAAATTGAATCCATAATGATGTAAACAATTTATTATCATGCTACCTGTACTTGCCGACTGCAGAGACATCAAGAGCTAAAGCAAAGAGAAGGGTGTTCAAAGCAGCATCAACCAAGAGGTGACCACGGATTGCAATGGCTTTTGCTTTACCGCTGAGCATGTAGTCAACCGCATTCGATTGGTATGCAAGATTTAAAAGCACTTTTAATCTGGTCTCTGCCATTAGAAGAACAATAGAGCCAGGGAAGTTCATCTGAGTGTGAAATGCGCCAATGCGAACTATTGCATTGCTGATAGGAGTCTAGTTGGCCCAGTTTGAATAATAGGCTGGTCAAAATTAATAATTGGATATTTTGTACCGTTTTTCTGAGCATGTTCTGCACTGTATTTAAGACTTGAGTAGGTGCATGTTTTGTTATTTGGGTCCAGGTCAATCATTGGTAGAAAAAACACGGAGGATTTCTTAGATGATATTCACTAGCAATTGTGGACTGCATTATACCTAACCAAATTGTACGGGCATTTAAGTTAAATAACAACGACATCCTTCAGAAGAGAGTGATATCTGAACATGTGTCTGGAATCTCTCTAATATCAATGTTCTTGTCTTGCAAATTAAAGGGACATCTAGGCTCGGGTGGTGAAACTAATTGAACATGTCCTGCTGCAGAAATCTTAACTGTGTCAATTGATTTCCTTCATGCAGCTACATGGGCACGACTTATTCCTGGTATAACAGATACTACTATTCCCATAGCATTAAAAGAGTCCCTAACATCTAAGATTCTAACTTTGTGATCAGCTTTGTCTGCAGAATATTAAAAAAACTCTTCATTAAAAGATGGAACATCAATATCTGTGGTTTGATCAACTGATACATTCTGGGTATAACATTGCACCTCATTGTACGACAAACAAAAGCTCATTGAATGTAGGCAATCTATTAGGAATCGGGGTGCAAAGTTGTGGTGTAACGTACTGGAAAGCTAGACCTACTTGAAGTGATGCCATATTGCATAAATAAAATTATCCCCATCTAGGTGATCATTATACAAACAGTATAACATAACTCGAATTAAAGTAAAATAAATGGTTTGAACCCGGGAGTATCGTTACATGTTTGTAAATGTAGATCGTCCTGGTTAGTATAGTCCTAAGAAGGACTGTTTTTGTTGTTGTTGACTGACGTTTCGACAACCTTAGCTGTAGTCATCTTCAGAGTCAAATGAGGAGTAAAATTTACTCCTCATTTACTTCTCATTTACTCCTCATTTGACTCTGAAGATGACTACCGCTAAGGTTGTCGAAACGTCAGTCAACAACAACAAAACAGTCCTTCTTAGGAATATACCAACCTGGACGATCTACATTTACAAACATGTAACTCGAAGTAATACACACACCAATGTTTTCAATTTAATATAATAATATATACAGTCGATTAAACATCAGCATCAAACAGGAATATTCAAATTAGAAAAGAATTATAGTTAACTTTTTCAGGATTTAAGGACAAAAATAGTTGCAAACTCTTCGGCGCAGTCATATAAAAATACCTTACCTTTTCAAAGAATTATATGCGGAAGAAATATTTGTCCGTGTTTGTATGATTTGAAACATTTTGTTTCATGTACAAAGCGGAAACTAGCGATGTTTACGTCTGGAAAATCAATATTTCACAGGCATTCTTGAGAATATACGTTGTAATTAAAAAATCTTGTTAAACCAGGAGAAAGGTAGAATGAAGAAAGCGTTTAAATATTTTTAATGATGTACATGTAATGTTTTGATATCTTGTGCGTCATAGTGCATGTTGCAACAGTATTAACTGATACACTTGTGTGACAAAAAACATCGTTTCCTATCCAATATTTTAATCTCAGGAACAACTTAAATTATTTGTTTCACATATTTCATAAATATAAACATACTGCTTTCACAAAACATCTGAGTTTCTTTTAATTTTTAATTTGTTTCAATAAACGTCGTATGTCTTTTTCGCCATTTCTTTGAGCATGATGTTATTTTATTTTTTCACATCGGCACAGAAAATCCTAAATTTAAGCATGTTCCGAAATTTGGATTTTTTAGGACTTTTCATACAGGGGCAAATCTAGGATTTTAAATACAACAGGCAAATTTCATGACGTCAGACATATGACGTCATAAAATCGACGACATATCATATGAAATTGATAAAGTAAGGCACATTATTTATGCATGTCTACACTGTCCTGCTGACCAAAGTGGCTTATTTGGATATATGTAAAAACATACTGGAAAAAATACACTTGAGCTAACCTGATATTCAATACTTCCATTTACAAATAAATTATACAGTAAGCCAATATGGATAGCCTATAACATGACAATACGATTTCCAAAACGAAAAGGTGCTTTGTAAGAATGGAATGTGGTTTTTTACACCATTCCATGAAGTTATAACACTAACAACTACCACGTAATCATTGCTGTCCAAATACTCAATATGTAGTATCAGTTCATGCAGTATAAAATAAAATAGAGTACTATATAGAGCTATATATGATTTTTGATTGGATTTAGTGCAATGTATTGAATAATGAAAATTTATTTTTGTTAATGTTCATACTTTTGAATTATTATTTAAGATGCTCTTCTCTTTTCTAAATGACAACTGAGGTTGGACATACTTTAGTTTAAAATGAAAGTTACACATTTTACTAATAAAACAGTAATAAAACAGCTGTCCAGCATGCAAGGTCATTATATATAAGGTTGAATGCTAGAAAATATTTGATAATTAATAGATAGTTCACTAATTAAATGAAGATATGATCTTCGCACTTTGCTGGACAATTTAAGAAATCGTCTCAGGAACCTGAAAAAATCAGGTGACTCAACGGGATTCGAACCCATGACCTCTGCGGTGCCGGTGCAGTGCTCTGACCAACTGAGCTATGAAGTCACACAGTGGTGAGCAGGTCAATATTGTTGGGCTCATGTTTTCTCGTGAAAGGAAACGCATTTAATTTCAAAACACCGCACTGCATAAAACATTCATACGACATTCCTTTCACGAGAAAACATGAGCCCAACAATATTGACCTGCTCACCACTGTGTGACTTCATAGCTCAGTTGGTCAGAGCAATGCACCGGCACCGCAGAGGTCATGGGTTCGAATCCCGTTGAGTCACATGATTTTTCAGGTTCCTAAGACGATTGCTTAAATTGTCCAGCAAAGTGCGAAGATCACATCTTCATTTAATTTCAAACACCGCACTGCATAAAACATTCATAAGATAGTTCACTAATAACGTGAATAAATTCTGAATATATGTAGCAAATCCTACTTTATTAGTGAAGAATATTGTAATGGAAAGGTTTAAACAACAATCTTTTTGCTACAACAGATTAACCCGAAACATTATCATTTATATTTTTCTAAATATAAAAAGAAAGAAAGCATGCTCTTACTTTTAAGGTAAAAAGCAAAACCAAATACTGCTTATTGCGGCGAACTCCAAAACATTTACAATTAGACTTTATTACTTACAGACATGCAGATTTTAGATAAAAGTAGGTTAATGAGATGTCATGTGTCAAAGAATCCTTAGATTGTTGCTTTGAACAACAAATTATGAAAATCGTAGTAGAAAGACAATATATAATATTTTCTTTAAATGAGTTCCCTTGGATTTAATAAAAAAATTTCACATAGCCACATAAAACGTGCAGAGATTTGCCATTAATACATATAAATATTTTACCTTTGTTCAACAACGTTAATATCCTCTACTTCTCCTCTTTTTTTCATATCTCCAACTAAACCAGCAATGAATTCAATCACCAAATGCCATTTGGGATCTGCCACGTGATCATTCAAAAATTTTCCAAGGCTTTGCCAATCGTCAACAATACACCACGCAGCTAAAAATTCCTGAAGAGTTAAATGAAGAAAGCAGTAAAAAAAGCGTCGTTTATGTGGTATCTGATGAAAAACACCACAGTTTGCCAAATTATGAAATTCTGTATTATTCTTATCTTCAAAAATCAAATTTCCTTCCTCAAGTCCTCTCTTTGCTGTTTCTTTTATTTTTTTAAAATCTGTATCAAGTAAGGATGGTAAAGGGATAGTCAAATAATTTTTCGTCGTTTTTCGTTTCTTGAGAGAAGGATGGTGTCTCCATAGTAAGATTTTAATTGCTCTGTTGTACAATTCAGTGATTGTTTTTGGAATATCCTCAGCGTTATTTATAAAGCATTCCTTTAGGGTCAAACAGACAATATAAGCGTTGACAGGGATGTAGCACAGGCTACGAAGTTCATTAGAATTATTAATGCAATTCAAAATCATCTCATTGGTATTCTTGTCATCACCACAAAACTTTTCGATATAATATTTGATCTGTTCTTCAAAAAAACCTAAGATCTCTACTGTTCGGTCAAATTTTAGTTCATCAAATGCATGTTCAGCTGTGGGTCGTGATGTTATAACAACAGTGACACCAGGCAGCAGTTTACGTTTTACCAACAAACTTAATAGTCTAAATGCTGGCATTTTCGCATCATGGAGGATTGAACCACCAATTTTAAGGCATTCTTCATTCAAAGATAGTTCATCGAGACCATCAACGACAAGAACAGTTTTTTCAGGATTATTGATTATAAAGTCATAAATTTTAGGAAATTCTTCATCCGAAAACCCATCACAATCACTCAACATATCTTTGAGACTAATGTTGCTATTTTTAAACGAACGACATCGCATTAAAAGAACTAGTTTATCTAGAAAAAATTCATCGGAATTTTTCATCCATTCGAGTAAAATTTTTTTTGTTAACATAGTTTTACCAATTCCTGGCCTTCCAATAACTAAAATGGTACGGGGATACGATTGGTCTTGCTCCTCCTGGATTGGTTTAAAAATTTCTGTTGCTCTTGTTAATTTTTTTGTATCTTTTCTTATTGTAAGATAGCACTGAAAGATTTCGTGCCTTTTAAATTTTTCTGGATAAGCATTCTCTAATTGTCTTTCTGCTTGTATTATGACGTTGATGTAAATATTGTCAAGATTTCGCCATTCTTTGGTCTTATCGCCAAAGTCGTCATGTATTACACATACTTCGTTCGTGTCGAAATTCTTTTTGATTTCTTCCAAAGTTTCTCCACATTCTTCTTCTTTTTCTTTCAACGGATTTGCACAGTCGTCTTTATTTTCCACCAACGATTTTGTACATTCATCTTTATTTCCTTCCAATGGTTTTGCATATTTGTATTTATTTTCTTTTAGCATTTTAGGTATTTGGAGCGGTACAAAATTTAAGTAAACTGCACAAAATTTATCCTCTTTTTTAAAAGAGTTATCAGTCCAAGCCTTATACGTCAAGTAACACAGCTCTAAAATTGTTAGTGTTATTACAATTAAACTTACAGATAAAACAGCTTTAATTAAAATTTCACTTTTATCACCGTTGGGATTTTCACAATCAATGTTAGAAATGGTGTGATTTAACAAGGAAATTTCTTTCATAGTTGGACGTCTTTTACAGGTGTATTCGATTGGAAACTTGGCATAGAAAAATAATCCAACAAAGACAGACAATATGATGATGCGAACCACCAAATGAACGATGTTAATGTAAAATGAAGAAAAATTAAATGCAACGTTATTAGAATGACGAACTTCTTCGCTATATTCCCCATGTAGAGGTTCACTTTGTTCGGCACTGTTTCCTATTGGACTGTTATTATAATTATGTTCAATTCGACGCTTTACATAATATCCATAGACAATACTCCAAAATAAGACAATGGCAAAATTAAAAAATACCATAAGAAAAACAGCATACTTAAAAGTTAAACCATCTTTGTATTGTCTGAAACATCTTGATTCAATGCTCTTTAAAAGAGAGCTTTCTTTCGTCTTTGATATAATCTCATTATGACAATTAAATGAACTATCAAGATATAAAACTAATGAAATACTAGAAACAAAGATGCCAAATATACCAAAGAAAATCAATATTATTCTTCCAAACCAGTTGAAACTGCTCCATGGTATGTATTCAAGACACTTTTCCATTTATATTCTTAAAAAAATTATTAAATCGTCACATTACTTTGAATTCAAAACAAGACGCTAGTATTGGCGTTTGGCTACAGGTATTGGGTTAAATATGAAACAAGTTTCTATTTATTCATGTAATAGTATGCTTTCGAGTGCAATTTGGCATAAAAATGTACGTGTGAGTTTTTCAAAGACTGCCATGCTCTTAACCAATCAGAATTGAGCAATTTTGTCAAGTAGATTATTACCTGAGGAAAAGGCATTAACATTTTCCTCTTAATTTACGTCGTTTGTATGTTGTGACCGAATGAGAAAGAGAATTTCATCTGCTCGTGAAAGAGCTTAGTATTCACGACATATAATATGTTTCCATGAGTATCGTCTGTTTCGTATTTCGTCCAGGAAATTGCTTTTTTAAACTTTGTTTTCTGTAAAGTATATTTGTAAGATGATGTGGAAATTCGATCATTTCCCAAGCATAAAACTCCTTAACGTTCCCGAATCTAATTTTAAAAACTGAGTACGGCAGACAAACGTGCATGCAAAAATCAAAAACCACTAAAATATCTGAATGGCTAGCGAATTATTTTGGTTTTCAAAAAAAACGTAAAACTCAAATTTTCGTCGAGGCGTGATGACGGCTTTGCCGTTTACGTTGCAGTTAACAGTTCAGGTTTTAAGGGCAGGAGGCCCTTTTTGTTGTAGGTAAAGTACTGCAAGCATTTTAGTGTATTTCTATTACAACAAAGTGACTTTTGTGACGCAATGTACTTATTTTAAGTGATTATAAATCATGAATTTGCCTATTATGCTATCAACAGAGTTTTAATAATACAGGAAATACAGCTCCTGACATTGTAAATTGTAAAACGTAAATTCAAAACTACGTATTGAATTCGATTTCTTTCGAAACAACAAACCTCAATGGCAAACGGATAATTTAGAATTGCCGTTTGCCGTAAACGCTAAACTAAAACTCTCTATTTGCGCAATACAAACACAATAAGAAAAATAAAAATATCATTTGAATATAATGCCCAATTTGACAGGAGTTACAAGAAATCGTAATTTGAGCATAATTGAGAGAAGTGAAAGTCTTAAGGCCTGAGAGAATAAGACACCAAACTATACAAGATGATGGAAGCGTTTAGTCAGAGATACGGAGATGAAACTCCGAATGAGAGTTTTATCTCCATAAAAATCAGATAGTTTGTTTAATTAGAACTCATGGAGATGTTTTTTTTATGCATATGTTTTATTTTTTGTTGTAATAAACATTCACACGAATCTGTAAAAAATTTGCCGAAGTAAAAACAAAAAAGTCTTCAATAAAGTCAGCACGGACAGGCGTTTATGTAAAAAAAAAATTCCACTCGACATGAGCACAATATGCGCATTTAAATTGTCAATAGTTTCCTACTTCTTAAGTGTATGTAGCCTCCTCAAAACATTTGGCAGCAAATTTTGTGAAGAGAACCAATGGTAACGAAAGATAATGGGAAGATTACTAAAATTAGAAAAATTCTTGTAATAAGCGATACTTGTCTTTAGCAAATATAAATCGATTTACATAGTACTTTTAACTTGCTTTGTTTAAATACACTACAAACCTTATGAAATTGAATAGGCGCAGAACTGTCAAAAACCACTTTTTACTAACATAATTTAATAAAGCAAATACGCTAAATAAGCAAATGCAAACAAAAAAAGCATTTGGCAGAGTTTGTCATAAGAACAAACCGAAACAAAACACAATTGCAACATTATTAAAAATAGCAAATTTCCACATTCCGAAAACATACATTTAACGAGCAGTACAAGTTTACAGTACAGTATTTCCATACTTTTAAAACGACTCAAATATGTATTCTATTTAGACTATAGTCTCATGATTTCTAACAAACAATTCAACATCCTTAACATGACAACACATCATCACAAACATACCTTGTTTTGTTTTTGCTTAGCAAATCGTTGTTGCTGTTTGTATTTTTACTTCTTTCAATTGATATTCAACAATTCGGTCATGAGTTTCTACAGGTATCTAAAATAAATATGATTTTATAGTATCATGCACGACCAAAATTTATTCAAAGTTTATTAAATGACTTAATATATGGCAAACAATTGCATTATGATGACAATTATACATCGCAAACACGCATAAGGATTCTGTGAATTATGTTCGACAAACCTTTTACTGGTTCACAGTCCAATTTTTCGTATTTTCCGATATAACGCAAGAGCAAGTTATAAGCGTCACACATATTCTTTACGTTGATACGTGGCCAGTGGAAAATTATATTGTGCCGCGGAATTTAAGTCATTTAAAAATTGATTATAATGCAAAGCAAAGATACTGTTTTGATTTTTATTGTTTTTTTTTAATTTATATGTTTGATTTTAATTTAGAGCATGTTAATTGATAGGTAAAAAAATGTAAAATCTAATGAATTATCATAAAGTATACGCTTACTATAGGATTATCTTTACATTCTCTGCAGTGTGTATGTACATACTCATATGCATTTATGTAGTCGATTGCAAAACAAGAGGGATTTGATTCAACATTTGCATATCAGCATGAAAGAAACAATATTTTAAATGTGCTCCTTTCATTCTTTGTTGAAGACTTTGAGTTTGAGCATATTTATTCTTCATTTTCTGTGCCATATATTTTGAATGCACTTAAAACTGATCAAAACCACTATATAAATACTTTAAAATTCAAGAGAGAAGTGATTTCTTTGTTATGCAGTCGATTGCGAAGCCAGAGTATCTTGATTTTCTATTAGCATATCAGCGTGAGGCAAGTAATATTTGCTAAAAGCTTGAATAAAAATAAATGAATAAATGTCTTTTTATTTAGTGTTATTGACAAGATGACAATTAACAGTGAAGCAAATCTATTTTTCCATTGATGTCATTTCGATTATACTAACGACAAAGTAAAATCATTATACAGGGTGTTCGAAAAAAACGGGAGCCTCATAAATAATTATGTACGCATTAAATGAAATCTGCTTGAGATAACTTAGTCTGCAATAGAGATTTCTTCTGCCTGTTTTATTAGTTACACGTTTTTCGATGTTCAAAGAAACTAATGGAAAATATGATTACGTTTTCGCGGCTTTATATTCTAATAAACTCGCTTTTTTATGTTACAAAGATGTAATATTGCCTGCGCAAGTTATAAAGGTCACATATATCCTTTGCGTCGATATGTGGCAAATTGTTCCACGGAATTTAAATCATCTTAAGAATATATTCAGTAATTGTTATGAAAACAGAGAAACGCTTAGAATTTTGGATTTTGTTTAGGTATTTATTGTATTATTACATAATGCATGCAGTAAGCTTACTATATAGGACTCTTAGCTTTTTATGGGAATAACTAAATCTATGATATTTTCTCTCGGGTATGTGTATACTCATACCGGCATAGGAAAAACGATAATTGGGGTATGCTCATATTCATATATGCATGTTATAATCTGAAATTAAAATACGGCATATTCAATTTAAATATTCCGCATTGCGAAGAACCAACGTTTGGAATTCTGTAACGTAAAATTCGTAATTATCTTATGAAAGTTTTAAATATAATTGTTAAAATACAGTCCCATCGTTTGAGTGAAGTTTGAGAACAGTGAGCCAGCAATTCGTACAGATTGTGCGAAAGTTGTACTTCGAGCCGGATCTAGTAGCAGTATTCAAGAAGAACATATAAATAGGATAAAGGTTGTTCACGATGTCAAAGCTGATAAGAAAGCGACAGCCGACGACTGGGCACAAATCGTACGCCACAAAAGTTGTGAACAAGGTGAGAAGTATGGTAAACGATAATGCGCCGTTAAGGAAAGTCGAACTGCAACAAATGCGGCTTGTAGTCGAACAGAAATTAGATACAATTTCGAAGTTGGACGATGCGATTCAGAGCTTGTTAGAAAAAGATGAAGATATTGCGGCAGATATTGACGGCTCATCGGAATACAGTTGCGAAGTTTTGGGAGCGTTGGCCGAAATCAACGAAGCTCTGAGCACGATAGAGACAGACAAGCGTAATGAGAAACTCGTCAAGACATCGGCAAGTACGTTATCCAGTGGAGAACGCTGCACAGTAAAGCTGCCCAAATTAGAGGTGAAAAAGTTCTCGGGGCAAGATACAAGATTGGCGTGAATTCTGAGACCCTTTTGAAAGTTCAATTCACAACAACGACGGATTTTCTGAGGTCGACAAATTCACCTATCTGAGGGGACTGGTGGACGAGCCAGCCAAGTCAGCAATTTCGGGATTTGCTCTGACTTCTATTAATTATGCAGAAGCCCTGAAAGTGTTAGAACGGAGATATGTGAACAAAGTCATTGTGCAAAGGGCACATGTGAATGATTTGATGAATGTAAAGCCTGTGTACAAGGAGAATCATACGACGAAGCTGCGCAAGTTCTTTGATGCCGTGGAAACGAATTATCGAGGACTCGAGGCGCTCGGTGTAAAGGAGAAGACGTATTGCAAGATGGTCGTGCCTTATTTTCTAACAAAAATACCGGACTTATTAAAACTGACGATTACCACGGGAAGAGACTATTTAGAGTGGGGCATGAAAGATTTTGTCGACGAGTTGCAAGTCGAAATGGAGTGGCGGGAATGCCACAAATTATCAGTTTGGACGAAGGACGAAGATCAACGAAGAAGACGATGGAAACCAGAAACAGCTAACGGATTGTTTGCCAGCCGCAACAATCGATTGTTTTGCTCTTTCTTCTGTGGGGAGAATAAACACGAAGAGTGCAAGAAGATAACAGAGTGGACAGAACGTATGCAACTTCTTCGTAAGTTTAAAAGATGTTTTGTTTGTCTAAATAAAGGTCATTTAGCAAAAGATTGTCGTGAACGTACTAAATGTATTGTGTGAGGGGAGGGTCGTCATGTGTCAATACGTGACAAAGTAAAAAGGAACGAAGAGAAGGCTGAAAACCAGAGTGGTAGCGCAGAGAAAACAGAGCAGGTCAATGTGAGTTACGTGCATGTGAGTACAAAGACAAGGGTAGCCTTGCAGACTGCGCAAAGAATTCTTGTAGGTCGGAATAGGAAGAAAGTGCGAGTGCTCGGGAAGTCAGAAGTCTTTCGTGACAAACAGTGCAAAACAAGATGCAAAGTTTAATGTAGCAAGGGAATGTTTAGAGGTCAACACCTTTGGTGGTGGAACAAACGAAAGTAAGATGACAGAGGTCGTCAATTGCGAGGTCACATAAGTTAGGGGTAATTGCAAAATTCGTTTAGAGGCATTAGTAGTTCCACGTATTTGCAGGGTAAAAAATGAGCATATTGAGGTGGCTAAGGAGCAGTATTCTCATTTGAAAAATTTGTTTTTGTCAGATGTAAGTTTGAAGCAGGAGATGTTGGAAGTGGATGTTTTGATAGGAGAAGATAACCTTTGGGCCTTTTCAGAAAGAAGAAATAATTAGGGGCAAAAAGGATGAGCCAGTTGCGATTGACACTTGTTAAGGATGGGTTGTATGCGGTCCACCGAAAGGGAGCTCGAAAGTCAAAAACGCACATGTTAATTTAGTTTCGCAGACTGCAACGCAGAAAAACAGCATAAACAGGCAGGTGAACAAGTTGTGAGATTTAGAAACACTTGGGGTCAGGGAAACTGACGATGTGCACGAAGCCTTGTTAGATAAAATCGAATTTAATGGGCATGAGTACTCTGTTAAATTGCCGTGGAAGCTGGGTCATGGGCATTTAGCATGTAACTCTGCCAATAGTTTAGCACGCATGAAAGAGCAAATCAAGCGCTTGTCAAATGAGCCTGATTTGTTAAAGGAATACTATAAAATTATTAGGGATCAACTAAAAATGGGTGTCTTCCCTTTCAAGCGGTGATACGTAAAGAAGCCAAAACAACTAAGCTAAGAATAGTTTATGGTGCATCATCAAAGGAGGGTAAGAAAGGGACTTCTTTGAATGACTGCCTTCATGTAGGAGCATCATTAACACCGTTGTTGTTTGATATATTAATTAGATTTAAGGAGAATGGCCTTGGTAGGAGACATAGAGAAAGCATTTTTGAACATAGAAGAAAACAAAGCAGACAGGGACTATTTAAGATTTCTGTGGGTTAGAGATGCGATTAATGCTAATTTAGAGGTTGTTGTTTACAGGTTTTGCGGAGTAGTGTTTTGATTAAATGCTTCGCCATTTTAACTTAACGTCACGCTTATGCATCACATAGAGCAATTTGCAGAATCACATCCAGTGCTTCCTCAAAAATTGAATGAAGGATTTTGAGTTGATGACTTAGTTTCGGGGGGCAAAAGCGCACACGAAACGATCGATTTATATGAAAAGGCGAAATTTAGAATGTCTCAAGGCGGGTTTAAATTAAGGAAATGGATGACAAATGAAATAGAACAGCGTGAATGCGAGAACAATGTCGTGCAGGCGACAGATCCAGACGATGAAACATTCACACAAAGGAGTTTGGGAATCCAAAATAACGAAGACTACGCAAGTGTTTTAGGTATAGACTGGCATTGCGACATTGACCTGTTCATGTTAGACCAACAAAAGTTTCTAGGAGAATTGGGTGACAAGAAGCTAACTAAACGAAACCTGCTGAGCGCAGTAGCAACGATATTTGATCCGTTAGGATTAATTAGCTGCGTAATATTTTTGATGAAAAATCTTGTTACAGCAGTTGTGAGTAGAAAAGAGTGATTGGGATGACGATATGAGCGGCAAGCACGCCAATCTATACACATAATAGATTGAAGATCTAAACCGCGTTAAGACTATGAAGCTAAGTAGATGCATCTATAGTGGTGTGAAGGGCAAAATTTAATCTTGTGAACTTCACAGGTTTGGTGATGCAAGCGAGAAAGCGTATTGCACGCTAGTATATTTTGTTTGTCGCACAATTGTTGGAGTCTTTGTGAAATTGTTAACAGCAAAAACTAGAGTTGCACCGCTGAAGAAGCTTAGTATACTGCACTTAGAACTAATGTCCGCGCTGATGTTAGCAAAGTTAATGTAATCTGTGCGGAAAGCTTTAGTAGGCCAAGTAGGGAAAATAGAAGCAAGGTACTGGTTAGATAGTATTACAGCATTATATTGGATTCAGAATCGCGGTGAGTGGAAACAGTTTGTTAGAAATGGAGTAAATAAAATCTTAGCAATAACACAGAAGGAGAAGTGGGTACATTGTCCAGGAATGAAAAATTCCGCTGATTTAGGAAGCACGGGAGTGTTTGCGTCGAAGATACAAGAGTAATCACTTTGGTGGACAGGACCAAGGTGGCTGAGTAGCGTAGAAAGAGAATGGCCGTAATCTGAGGTAGGCGTAACTGAGGAGAGTAAAGAAGAAAAACGTGCGGCACTATTAGAAAGAGATACTAACGAAGAAATAGGTATTCAGAACGTGATCTCTATAGAGAGGGTTGAGGATATATTCCGGGTAGCGACATTGGTCACACGATTTGTCAGGATTTGATCGCTAGGATCAAAGGCGTGGAGATTTAACTTTCACGGAATTAGGGAGTCAGGAGATAAGTAAAGCAGAAAACTTTGGTTGAAGGCTTCACAAGACAGGCTAAAGGAGGATAAGTCCAAGCACTTAGAGGTACAACTCAAGGTAGTAGAAGATGAGGGGTTACTAAAATGTCGAGGTAGGCTAGCAGAATCAGACTTGGAAAAGGAAACGGAGTTTCCAAATCTTATTACCAAAGGAAGGTGGATTGACGGAATTAATAGTTGAGCATTGCAACAACAAGGTGTATCATAGCGGAGTTAGGGCAACTTTAGCAGAGATAAGGTCAAGGTTCTGGATTCCACATGGCAGACAGAAGGTAAAATCAATTCTCAACACATGTGTGGTGTGTAAGAAATTATGTGTGAAGAATACTTTAGGGGGGACAGACAAAGTATACATCGCATTGTTTTCCTGTTGCGTAACTAGAGCCTTACATTTAGACATAGTTAAAGATTTGTCTGCGGATGAATTCATGAAATGTGTTAGACGATTTTCAGCGAGAAGGGGGACCCCATCATTAATGGCAAAAACATTCAAAGCAACATTCAAGACTTTAGAAACCCTCAATAATAATGCAAGTGTACAAGGGTATTTGTGAAACAATAGGATGGAGTGGAAATTCAATCTAGAAACAGCTCTCTGGTGGGGTAGATATTTTGAAAGGATGGTTAGGTCAGTGAAGAGGTGCTTGAAAAAGGTATTGGGAAATGCTATGTTGACATTTGACGAACTTCTGACAGTGTTGGTAGAAGTTGAGGCAACATTAAATTCTAGGCCATTGACTTATACGTACGACGAGGTGGGTAGTGAACCAGTAACTCCGGCGCCTTTGGTGACGGAAAGAAGGTTGTTGTCCATGCCAGAGGAACGGTATGGTGAAGAGGAGTCTGATGAGGGTTACTGTAAAAAACGGTACCAGTATTTGAGTAAGAAAAAAAATGCATTTCTGGAATAGGTGGCGTAAAGAGTATTTGGTTGGTTTAAGAGAGTTCCATTAGCAGGACAAGGACAATGCTATTATGGTAGTAGAGAAGGGAGATGTCGTGACTGTTTATGAGGATAATGTCAAAAGAGGAAATTGGAAGACAGGTGTAATAGAGTTGTTTCAGGAAAAGATGGGGTGGTAAGAGGTGCTAAGGTCAGGCTAGTTAAGAACGGTAAAGTCATTCACCTCAATCGTCCAGTCCAAAAACTCTTTCCTACCGAGTTAAAGCACGACGAAAGGGAATGTGAGCGAAAAGAGAATGAAAAAGGACTGAGAGAGAGGCAAAACATAAGGGTAGACGCAAGAGAGCCGCTGCTCTTTATTCTGTATAGAAGACACGGAGTATGCTTGATTAGTGGGACTAATCAAGATGATGAGTGTATTGTAAATTGTCATGTCAAATTATTTAGCGAATAATTATACATAAATATAGCTTGCAAGCGTTAGTTCGGGGGTTCAGAAAAGTTGACGTTATTGGTGTATGAACTGGTCATACAAATTTGATAATTTAGCAGTCGTATTGCAGAAGGCAATAAAGTTCGAAAACGCTGTTTAAGGATTGACGGTTGTCCGTAATCTTAACGACATCAATTTAAATATTCCGTATTGCGAAGAACCAACGTTTAGAACTCCGTAACGTAAAAATCGTGCACAACCACTGTAAATATCCTATCGAAGTGTTAAATATAATTGTCAAAATACAGTCCCATCGTTCGAGTGAAGTTTGAGTGAAGTTTGAGAACAGTGAACCAGCACTTCATACAGATTGTGCAAAATGTGTTTCTTTCTGGAGAAAGATTGAGCAAACATGAAATAAGCAATAAAATATACAAGTCATATTTGAAATTATTATAAAAAGAGATAATTGCATAAAAATACACCAATGATAAAGGAGAAATCGCCCTGACGAAATCAGTAGAAGCATTCAGGCTTAGTCAAATCGAAGACAACTTCCTGTCACACAATATTAACCAAATTAGCTACCCTTTTGCTGTTTTTTTTTGTACACAACATTTTGTCTATTTTTATTTGGTGTTAGATGATCTTGAGCATATTAATATGGCAATAAGCTTTCAACTTAAATAATTGAATGCCGATTCTATTTTCTTATGCCATGTTTATAATGACACGTGTATTATCGAGAGAATAAGGAACACTTTCACCAACCTTTGGGCATTGGAGGTATACCTTTTTCTATTTTCAGTTAGAGATCTGTAATGTATGAATTTTTTTACCACAATTAGCTTCTTGTATACTTTGTAACAGAAAGGATATATGTTTTGATGGAGAGCCCGGTAGTCCAAGCCTAAAATGGTCTTGACCTTTCTTTGTCTACACCAAACTTTAAGAGTGTGACCACCCATCGCTCGTGACGTTAACTGAAATGTGATATTGGCTTTGTGGTTGTGACCATCGAAGATAATGTAACCGAAGGAACTCTGGTGATATTGCATGAGCTATTATTTTCAGCTTATTTTCGTGCGGAAAATATGTTTTGATAAGTCCTTTTTCATTATGCAACTAATTTATATTGCCATTAGACAACACACAAAAATTATTTTTATTTGGGGCGAAAACTACCCAACACCTATAATAAAGGCTAATTATCCTTTCAAAGATTTTGTTTGTTATGTGAAAATAACAAAACATCTAAGATCTTTCTATAAAGTGAATATCACAATTATTTAAACGCTGTACTTAAATAATTATGAAATTTATACAGCTGTTTATAGATACATATAACACGAAAAAATTACATTGAAAACGTCATGAAATGTACAGAAATGTTAAAACTATCAAAGATTCTAGTAGCAATTTCAAAGTGCACAACTCCATACAGAAGTCATGTAAATATATACTAATATAAAAATTGTCCTCGCATGCCCTTCAAAAATTAACTTTCATAAAAATGGAGAGAGTTTTTATGAAACAACGCATTTTATGTTAATTTAATCTAGACGACATGCTGGTGATGAACGCGTTATTGACAACACGCATTTCAATGGAAAACCCTGATACGTGTATTAGACTGGATAACGAATCTCATTTGCTACTGGCTTCATGGGAGTGTTTTGTAATACAAAAGTATAGTAAAGTGGGACCGAACCCCCACGAAGGTCATAATCAGATGCGCCAACTTACGGCTTTAATTATCTTACTATATTTTATACATGTATGCGTTATCCAGTATAATATACATATCAGTGATGACAACACCTGATGAACTATTATTACAGAAACTTGCATATTTGTGTTCTTTAAGAAGATTGTAAATATCTTTTCTGCTTTTAAGAGCGACATACGAGCAGTAAAAGATGAGAAACGTAAGTTTCTAAGTCAACATCTTCAACTTACCTCAGGCCTTTTCACCCTAACTACACATGTAACTTTACCGTAATTAATTTTAATGACATCATTTATGTTGACGGCTGTGTAGTCAGGACATTTCTCAACACACACATAAATATCAAATTTACAAAAAAAGGAAGTCTTCACGTATAATTTATACGTTTACATGAATTGGCGAACTTGTGAAGTAGGGCATAAAAGACAAGTAAGATCATTCACTGACGTCTTGTTACTACACTTAGCTAGATAAAACAACAGTAAGAAAAAATATTTCTTGTCCAGGGTCAAAGATGGATAGTTCTGGACTGTTTTTCTTATTATTATTATTAAAATGAAGAAAAATAGGTGTCATCCTGGAATAGAAATGGATAGTTATAGTACTTAAAAACAGAAGTGCCCCTAAGATAGAAATGAATAATTATTTTCGTTAGAAACAAGTGTCCTCCTGGAATAGAAATGGATAGCTATAGCAGTTAAAAATAGAATGCTCCAAGGATAGAAATGAATAATTAATGTTGTTAGAAATCGATGTCATATTGTTCATATTGAAAATTCGCTTTCCGCCTGGCAAATCTCTGGCCACGATTTTGAATAATTAATGTTGTTAGAAATCGATGTCATCCTGAGAAAGAAATGAATAGTTATAGTGTGCTGCCACACATCAGCGACCTATATACTGGTGAAATCTCGATTTGTGCCTGTCTGTCTGTTAACAATTCCGAGGGAATTTTTACGGAATGAGGGGTAGCGCACAATCACAATAAGATAGAACCTTTTGGAGCTTCTGTAAGTTTCTATTTGATTTTAAATGTCTGGAATCCGAATAGATATGCGGCCTAAACAACGTTGTACAGTAGATACTAAAATCGAATGATCACCGACATCAATTATACATATCTCGTTTGGCGAAAACAAATGAAATGGATTCACCGATTCACCGTGCCGTATATGGCCAGCTCGGTTCACATTTTTTATCTTGCGCTCTATGGCCACTCGGTGAGAAAAATGTTGGGTAAGCATGTATTTATTTTCGATCGAGCTTTTATTATTACTTGATATATCGGCGTGGATTTAACAAAACATCAAAAATCATTTAAACGCATGGTGCGAGTTCAACCATGAAATATGGATTATGACTACGATGAAACGTTTTCTCTTTGCGATAACTGTACATCATTTTATCGCAGTCGCACAGAATCATCGGAAATAAGGTTCTATGAAAATGTTATAAAGGAAATAATGGAAACAAACTACAGTTTTATAATATTGTCCGTTTCTACGTTTGTAAACATGCGTTCGATTGATCGGTTTAGTAAACAAAGTATCATACTTTTAATCAAAAGCATTTTAAAGACAAATTTGTTGGAGATATAAACATGTTATAAAAAAATCGTTTTCGTTCGAAATGGTAATGAATTTATCTTTACAATTATTTAAAACGTGAAATGAAATAAGATGTAAAGCAAGGGAGCTATTTTTTGCCGCAAACCAACCGTCGACTTTCAGAACGCGTGCCTTTGTTTGCAGGTATTCCAAATAAGGTATGTCACGTTTGATTAAGGCGCGCTCACTCGATCCGATTTGTCGGATTCGATTTTGTTGGATCCTAAAAACGGATCGTGTGAGCCCATATAAAGTTAGTCTCCGACAGTCGGATCCGTCAATCGAAAAAAGAGGATAGAAATAGAACTTGTTTTATTCTCATAAGACCGACAAGATCAGAGGAAGCCGACTAGCAAAATTATATGTATTTGAAAAGACTTGGAAACAAGAAGAAAAATACGCAAATATATCGATAAATTACTGGACAACACAAATGGCTGCTCACAAGAATTTAAATATCTAAACGTATCTAAATATCAACAAAACTATCTGACCGTCTGAACAAGCAATCAAAAGACGCAACCGAAACAATCGGATCTCACAAATCGGAAAGTGTAAACCGGCCTTCAGATAGAAAGAAAACTCTAAACATGGCGAGAGGGCAGCACTCCCTCTGGATAACTCGTGTCGTTAGAAATAGATGTCATCCTGAGAAAGAAATGAATAGTTATAGTAGTTAAAAATAGATGTACACCTAGGATTGAAATGGATAATTCGTGTCGATAAAAATAGATGTCATGCTGGGGAAGGAAACGATAATTGATTTTCTTAAAAATAGATGCCGTTTTGGAACAGAAATAAATAGTTGATGTTGCGAAGATTGCTTTTGGCGGCTGACATGGCATAAATGAAGATATTGAATTAGGGATCCAAGGATAGTGTAAAGTTTTGAAAAACTCCGCTTTTTGAGTCGTACTTTGAATAAACCATAAAATGTTTCATACATTTACTTCGCTGCTCCATTAACCCCCATTCTATTTTGATTCCTGAGACATGCATTCATTTACTTTACAACAAATAAAAATATTTTTAATGACATCATGACTTGATCCTTACATTTTTTCATTCATTTTTAGAGCTCTTTCACGAAACACTAAATAGCTATATAGCTTTACCGTATTCTTCAGTTTTATGATGTATTGCACAAACACTATTAAAGAACTTAGCGTCATCAGCATGATTTGATCCTAACGAGTTTTTGTGAAATTCAAATTCATGATATTTATAGCTTGTTCATGAAATTTGTCCTATTCTACAGGATTATCGTACATATCAAAAAATTGGTTAAAAGATTTGGTGATTGAACATGATTTATAGACCTATGGATTTTTAAAAATATTTTGAGCCTTTTGGAGAAGCTCCATAGCTTTGTCGCCTTCTCCAGTTTTTGCATACAGCAAAGCAAGATTGTTTAAAGACATAGTGACGTAAACTTGATTCGAACCAAACGAATTTTCAAAAATTTCCAGAGCTTTTTTATGACACTCTATAGCTTTGTCGTATAGTCCAGTTTTATCATACAACAAACCAACATTGAATAAAGACTCAGCAACATTAACATGATTTGGTCCTGAGATATTTTTCCGAATTTCCAGAGCTTTTTCAAGATATTCTATAGCTTTGTCGTACTCTCCGGTTTTACCATACAACATACCAAGATTGCTTGAAGTTACAGCGACAGAAACAGGATTTGGCTCTGAACACTTTTTCACAATCTCCAGATCTTGTTGATGAGCCTCTATGGCTTTGCTGTATTCCCCAGTTTTGTCATACACCAAAGCAAGATTGAAAAAAGTTGCAGCAACCTCAATATGATTTGAACCTAACGATCTTTTTTGAATATCCAGAGCTTTTATGTAAGAAGCTATAGCCTTGTCGTATTCTCCAGTTTTATCATACACCACACCTAGATTGTATAAAGACTCGGCAACATCAACATGATTTGCCCCTAACGATCGCTTTTGAATTTCCAAAGCTTTTTCGTAAAAATCTTTAGCTTTGTTCAATTGTCCACTTTTATCATACAGCGCACCAAGATTTTTTAAAGAAAGACCGACATGAACATGAGTTGGACCTAACGATCGTTTAAAAATTTCCAGAGCTTTTTCATGACATTCTATAGCTTTGTTGAGTTCGCCCGTTTTTCCATACACCAAACCAAGATTGTTTAAAGACTCAGCGACATCAACATCATTTAGTTTGGACGATTTTCGTGTAATCTCTAGAACATTTTCGTTGCACTCTATAGCCTTGTCGAATTTTCCGGTTTTAGCATACATCGCACCAAGATCTTTTAAAGACCTAGCCACATCAACATGATTTGTTTCTAAAGACTTTTTTCGAATTTCGAGAGCTTTTTTATGAAACTCTATAGCTTTGTTGTCTTTTCCAAGTTTACGATATGTTGTAGCAAGATTGCTGAAAGTCACAGCGACATCAACATGATTTGGTCCTAATGATTTTTGTTGAATTTCAAGTGCTTTTTCGAAACACGTTATAGCTTTGTCATATTCTTCAATTTCATCATTCACCGCACCAAGATTGTTGAAAGACACGGCAAGGGCAACATGATTAGGGCCTAACAATCTTTGTTTCATTTCCAGGGCTTTTTCGTAAAACTCTATTGCTTTGTCGAATTCCCCATTTTTATCATGCACCATACCAAGATTGTTCAGAGCCATAGAGACAGAATCATGATTTGGACCTAACGTATTTTTGAAAATTTTCAGAGCTTTTTTGTGACACTCTTTAGCTTGGTTGATTTCTCCAGATTTATAATACGCAGAACCGAGGTTGATTAAAGACTCAGCGACTTGAACATGACTTTCTCCAAACGATTCTTGATAAATGTCCAGAGCTTCCTTGTGAAAGTTGATAGTTTTGTCATATTGTCCAGTTTTAATAGACAATAAACCAAGATTGTTTAAAGACGCAGCGACATCAACATGATTTGGTCCTGACGATGTTTTCAGAATTTCCAGAGCCTTTTCATGAAACTCTACAGCTTTGACGCATTCTCCAGTTTTATCACAAGCTACACCAAGATTGTTTAAAGACACAGCGAGATCAACATAATTTAGACCCAACTTTTTTTCTTTAATTTCCAGAGCTTTTTCATGATTTTCTTTTGATTTGAAATATTCGCCAGTCCAATGATGTAAGGCGCCGAGCTGTGTAAAATACCAGGCTTTGTCAAAGAAATCACATTGAAATGCTTCTGTCTTAATTTTATCTAACAGTTCAAATGCAAGATTGTATTTTGCAAACTTTTTTAATGTTAAAGTGAAAAATTCGAAAACTTGAAAAATATTCATGTCTACTTTCATACTGTGGGTCTTGAACAGTTCAAGAAGTTTTTCAAGATGTGGTATCAACTTGATTTGGTCCTCTCTCTCATGAAACTTGTAAAGTGCTTGAGCTATTTGACCAAATGCATGTTGAGACGAAGGAGATATGCCACCATGCTCCACTTCATGTTCTTCATTTTCATTTTCAGATTGATAAACAATAGTTGCTTTGTGAACAATGCGATGTAGATTTATTTCATTATTATTTTCTGAATGCAATAACAAAGAGCATTCGTCTAAACAAAGACATATATCTTCCTTAGATTGTTCGGGATCACGTTTTTGAATATAATAAACAATGATATCTCGTGGTATTGGATCAAACGATATCATGGAAAAAAAGCAAATAACCTTGGCCAGCATTGGGGATTCTTCAGCATTTTGTCTTACAGCTAAAAGTACAGCGTGTAACATACTTTTAGGATATACCGAATTAAATTCAACAAAGGAGGCGTCCATGTATTCTTGTTGTCCCAAAGATATTTCCCCTAAATATTGCGTCCAAGTGAACGAACTGTTTGTTTTCTTAACACGACTGAAGTAAAAGCCAGCAGCAGCCAAAGCCAGCGGTTGACGATCTAATGCGTGCGATACCATTTTCAACGATTCATCACCAGCACTTTCATCTTTTGTGTAATGTTTCAATAGCTGAATACATTCTTCATCATTCATTCCAGAACTGATAGAAACATGTTTGCTGAACAACTCATCGTAAGGTACAGCATCTGTGTTCTGGACAGTTAATATAATTTGTCCATTTCTCCACAAAGGATCACTTACTTGGGGTAGCAACGGAGAAATTTCGCTCAGCTGTATCACGTTGTCTACGATGATCAACCAACTTTGCCAAAACTTTAATCGAGTGGATATTAACGATCGCAAGTTCTTGACTTTCTCTTTAGTGCAACAATTTTCATCGTTAAAATTTTTAATCATTATGTCGTCACAGTTTAGACAGTATCCAAGTTCACTGTAAGATTTCAAAAGAGAATCTACATCTTTTCCATCGAGAGTCATTACAAAGGAAGCTTCATTTGTCCAACCACACGATATTTTTTCACAAACCTGTTTTACAAGTTGAGATTTACCACTGCCAGGATTACCAGTGATGTAAAAATAGGTCAGTTCATTATTGTTATCTTTCCGTAATTCTTCAAGATCTTTTATAATTTGATCTCGTAATTCTGTGCGTTCAACGACAAAATGATTGGATTTGGGAGGAAGAACTCGAAAAGGATTGAATCTCTTTCGATAAGACTTTATTTCTTCGATTTCATCAAAGGAAAATTTCAAATCTTGAAATGATTTTTCAATGTTATTGACTATCGCGTCAAAATCGTCATCTGAGTACTCGCTTTCATACCAATGAGCGTCTTTGTTTCTTTCACCACGAAGTTTATGAACAGCATCCTTTGTTTTTTTGTCAAGATGCTTTCCAATTGAATTTGAAAAAAGTATTGCATCGAATAATGTCGTACAGTCCCACTTAGAGGTGTCTCCATTCTCATATTTTTTTTGGATGTTCTTATCCAACTTCCTTTTCGATTCCAACTTCCAAAATATTTTGCCACTTTTGGTCGTATTATCCCATTTTCCATATTTTTTCTCGTTAAAAGAGTTCCATTTTTTAATAAAAAACTTGGCAAGTTCATTTCGAACTGCAACAATTATTCTCTTAATATAAAGTAGGTTCCTGCTTTCTCTTGAATCCATCTGCGCAAAAAATATATTTCACTTAGAGAAATTACATCAAAAAAGAAGGAAAACACAATAAGTAACATACTACTTTTCACTGACGACGAAAATTTAGTTTACAGTAAAATTTAATAGGCATGTAGTATGCACAATATAATCAAACAACACAAGGATAAGGTGTTGAAATTCGAACAAATTTTGGTAAAATTTAAAAATATACGCTGTACACATAAAACAGTACATTTTTAAAAATAATTACGTAAAATGTACATAAAAAAGATTGATTGCTTAACGAAGACCAAATACAAATGCTTAACGAAGACCAAATAAAATGTCTATCCTAATATAAATCATTGAGAATTTCAAACAAGTGCATGCAATCGATGACAATCCACAGCAAATTTTTGGCTGAGCAATGTAGATTAAAGTATGAAAGATTGTTATATGCAGTGCGATGTTTGAAATTAAATGAAGATATGATCTTCGCAGTTTGCTGGACAATTTAAGCAATTGTCTCATGAACCTGAAAAATTCAGGTGACTCAACTGGATTCGAACCTCTGCGGAGGCCATGGGTTCGCATCCCGTTGAGTCACCTGAATTTTTCAGGTTCATGAGACAATTGCTTAAATTGTCCAGCAAAGTCCGAAGATCATATCTTCATTTAATTTAGTAGATTAAAGTGTTGAAAATTGTATTACGTAAGAGCAAAGAGAGCTTTCTTGTGTCGGAAAATAGCTAAGGCATTCTGCTTATATATTTTTGTGATACTTTCTCACGAAAAGGTGATGATAACGTATAATTTTCATGTTAGCAGCTTTTTTTGTATTGATAACGAAGTTGATCGGAACAATACTAAATATACATTGATAGCACAAAAACTCTTTGACAGATTCATGTTGCCCAACGGCTAGTTTAAAACCGCTCTGTTTAAACTAGATATGGTTTAGGTTGTAGCATAATTCTAAAACTAAATCAGAAAGACTGTCACATGGTAATTGAGGATGAAATCAAGACGATTGGTCCATGCAAGTGCATTAAATGAGCTGTTTTAGTCATGTGACTTAATGATGGTTTTTGACTGACTTATGACTTGCAAGTTGCAGATTCATCACGTAAAATGTAGGAGTCAAAAGCTGTAAAGATGCAATTTGTGGGTGCATATTTCAAAAGAAAAGTGATACAGACTATACCAAAATAAACGCAAAGTCTTCATTTGTCGATATGTGACATTTAATGAAACGGACTTTGAGCATTCACAAGAAGTGCCTTTTGAACTTGACAGAGAGAACGAAACGAGGCAGGACGAGGAAGAAAAGAAGTCCACCAATTTTAGACGTTCAACGAGAGAGAAGAAGTCGTCAATGAACTATGACAATGAATTCTGCACTCTATGTAACACAAGTTGAAGAGCCAGCATCCCCAAAGAAAGCACTAGAAAGCGAACATGCAAAATACGGGAAAGCAGCTGCTGACTGTGAATATCAATCTCTGATAAAAAATGATACCTGGGACTTGGTACCTCTGCCACAAGGAAGAAAAGCCATTTCTAGTGAATGGGTATTAAGTGAAACATGACGACAATGGTAAAACTGATGGATTATGGTTGCAAAAGGTTTCGTACAGAGAGAAGGGATAGATTTCGCTGAAACATATTTCGTGTGTTGTCAGATTCCCGTCTATTTGAGCTCTTTTGGCATTTGCTGTTTCAAGAAACATGCTCATTCATTAAACGGACGTTGCCAATGCATTCTTAATGGCAAACTAGAAGAGAATTTATATATGGAGCAACCGGAAGTTGTCTTAGGAAAAGAAAATCTCGTGTGCCAACTTAAGAAGTCTCTATGCGGACTAAACCAAAGTCCATGATGTTGAAATCAATCATTGAGAGAATTTATGGTTTCTCAAGGTTTTGCACAAAGTACTTTTGACCAATTCGTAAAAGTTCGTTTACCTATCGTAAAGTATAACCTCGAGGATTGTAAATTCGTATCCACTCCAATAGACGTCAATGTGAAATTAGCATAGACCGATGTCTGCAGTGTATCCATCGATCCAAAAAAATAAATGCAGCTTCGGCTATACGAGAATTTCGATCTCTGTAAGGGTCAAGCAAAATACACCTGCCGTGTGTAGCAAACGGTGAAATGGAAGGATACTCCTACGCAGGTTGGGCTGCTGACGGAAGATGTACACGTGGCAATACATTTCTGATGTCCAAAGGTACAATTAGTTGGACAAGTCATGAATCAACGAAAGCACTTTCTGCCTAAGAAGCGGAGCAACACAAGAGTGTGCTTGGTTGGGTGAACTTCAAAAACGTTTTACAAACGGATGATGCAAGCCATACTTCAATTAACAAAGTATAATGTGCTGAGTGAGTGGGAATGTTGGACAATTCTTAAAACACTCAACAATTATTATCCTAATGATTATATGAATTTGACACTGAGGGCACAATTGGCAGTTATTGCTGGGGCACTTGTACGTTCAACGAGCGTCTGCAACTACTTGTTTTATGTTCAATAAACGATGTTTTTATATATCTACTCTCTGTTCATGATACTTAATAAATCAACAAAAATTAGGTTGTACGTGGCCAATTAGCAGTTGTTTGCTGTCCCTAATATTAATATTATTTAAAAAGTACGAAAAATATATAGAAAAGGAGTTCTTACAGGGCTTTGTGCCAAGTCTTTGATGTGAAGAGTCGTTTAAAAGGTATTTCAAAAAAACTTCCGTTTTTAAAAGTTGTAATATTATAAAAAGCCATAAACCGCTTTTTACTGACCCGAGTCAAATAAGAAAGTGCATTAATTAATTCAAAAAACATTTGGCATACTTCGGCATAAAAAACAACAAAAACGAAAGATATTTAAAGGACATTGGCAACAAAAATTTTTATGGCATATTTTTGAACCTTTGTGATGTCTAACAACTAAAATAGCAAAATATTTTTTCAAAAATATTTTGTTGCTGAGATATTTGCTGCAAAAGTTTTATAAATTTCGCCATCTTCGATAAAACTTTGATAAAATTATCTCGAGCGGTAGTGACGTCATTGGCTGGTAAGCAGTCAAAACAACAATACAATATACTTTGTGATTGACTGCGTTACAACACATTTAAAGCACATTTTACGGGGTTTTTTGCCGTAATGGATAACATACACGAAAATCAACCGGGCTAAGGCTAATTTATACTCCATGCGACAAGTGTCGTGCGCACCATGTCGCATGAGGAATATGACGTCATTTCACAAAAACGGAAGTAACATTTGTAACATAATTTCGCCGTATTGTCGCACACGTACGCTTCGCAAATAGTTGTTGCGTCGCAGACATTTTGTCGAATTGTCGCGCAAGATAATTGGCTATCTAATCACACGTGGTTAGTCATTTGTGTTTGTCTCAGAATATGTTTATTACAAATATGGAAAAATATTAAATCATGGATGGACTCGAAGAAAGATTAGCAGAAGAGGTTAGGAAATATCCTCATATATATGACTCGTCTAGACGGGGTTATGAAGACCTACAAAAAACTACGAATTCATGGAAGGAAATCACCGAAAAGCTCGAAACAAATGATGCTGTTTGCAGACAAAAATGGCAGAAAATACGGGACCGATTTACGAAAGCCAAAAAGCGTTGGAAATCGGAGAGGGGTGATCCTGACGGAAAAATTATACCGGCTATTTTCATTAGCCTGTTGTGGTTGTCTAGCTTTATCAAACATCGTGAGACTGACTCGAATTTTCCCTTATCAGATGTAACTCAGGTAAGCATTACAGGGGATTAATTGTTCATGTCCATTATGTAGAATTGAGAATGCTGCCACATTTATATATAGAGTCTAATTTAGAGTGGCCGTACAGAAGATTATTCAATCGAGGCCCAACTTTCGGGTACTGAAGAGGATCCTACCAGTTTAAGAACTATATCTCTAGAAGACTTGCAATCTATCTCTCCAGAAGCCAGCACCTCTAATTCAAGGCCAAGTTTCCCTCATTCCATGACCTCTCTCTGTGATGGCACTGCTCCTGCTTCTCAAGCAATTGTCCTGGCTATCCGAAAAACCTCACCTGGCCAGTCCTTACATTCTGACAGATGTGACATGCCACAATCCTTATCTAAAAGGTCCAAAAAGAGAGCTGCCTCACCCACAGCGTCAGCACTTTTAGAGAGACTGGACTCTATAAAATCATTAAGAGAAGAAAGAAAAGTTCATAGTGCAAACGAGGAAATAAGATTTGCAGAAACAGTGGCAGATACACTGAAGAAGCTTCCACCTTAACTGAAATCAGAAGCAAAATTTGCTATTAATAAAGTTTTGTTTGAAATAGAACAGAAACTTTACAGTAGTGACTTTAATTAATAAAACTATGTATTTATGCAGTGAATGTGTCGTGGAGATATGTTAAGACATATTCAACTTAGTTTTGTTGTAAAGAGAAATAGCTTTTTTCATTGTGAAAGTTTTTGGCTAATAAAGCTAAAGGCAAAAAAAACATGGATGGTAAAAAACTATATTTCAATGTAGTAATCAGTGAGTTTTGTATTTTATGACAATGCTGGAGGGCATTCACATTCATGCTGAATGGAATGTTACAGATGTAGCCAGCCCAAAATTTTATGCTAAGTAAATATTTTTGTCTTTGCTCGCAATAAAATTAATAGATTTCTAAAAAAATGAATACTGCTAATAATAAAAAAAATTAATTATCTGGCTGGGTATACCACTGCAATGTTATGAATACATATTCATGTACCTATAATTTACAAAAAGATATTAACACAATTTTTTATTATTTAGGGTTATTTTGGGCATTTGTTAGGGTTATTTAAATAATTTAGTAAATGTGTAATCAAATTATGCTCAGGGTCTTGACTTCAGACATCCTCTATTTACAACATTTGCTTGCCATGTCAGCAACTCATGAACTGACATAAAATAACTCTTTAAGTCATTTCGAACAGCTATTGCAGCACGTGATGACCTTGCATTGGAAAGCCGCCTCATATCTAGTAAGCTAGTATCATGTGCAACAATTTTCCTCCATTTTCCTTCTTGCGTGTCATGCAAAGCATTGGTTGTATCAGTGAAGTTTGATGGAACATATCGAGAAGTGGAAGCATTTGTGGCATTTTTTTTGTTGAGGAAGTTGTGAAGAGCAACACATGCTTTCACAATATAAACTACTTTTTGTGGATGAAATTCCATTGGTCGTCCAAGAATCCTGCACTCAGGAGACAAGATTCCAAATGAGTTCTCTATAACTCTTCTTGCTCTGAAGTGGCTGTAGTTGTAAACTCTTTCTGATTCAGTGAGGTTAGAGCCTAACAAGAAAAATCATAAATGCTAGGTGGAAGCATTTGCAGTATCTGTTTGTGGCATCTTTTTTCAAACAATAAAGCAATTGTAGACTAAGTAATTAAATGTGATTGATGTATCTGTTGTGCATGCCTACCTGGATATGGTTGCATCATGTTAACATGCATCGGAAAAGCGCCATCTGCAACAAAGACATGGGGAACATGTATATTGGTGTTTGGTAACATTGGGGCGATGGCAATTGTAATCTCCCATGTAGCAGGTTGTCCCCAAATTGACTTTCTTTAAACACACCTCTCGAGCATGACTTAGATATATTGGACAAAGCTGGAAAAATGGATATTGTAGATAAAATTGCTTCAAATACGATTGCCAATGAAGAAGCTGATTTAAATTGAAAAAATGCACGAGTAAACCTTATAAATAAGCAACCTACAAACTCTCTATTCAATGCATTCCAAATTGCTTTGCATACTTCGGAAACAATGCATGAAATAGTCGTTGATCCAAGGCGGTAGCTGGCTGCAATACTTTGCTGTGATACACCACACGCCAAAATTCTGAGAGTCACTGCAAGTCTCTCCTTCAGTTCAACAGGACCAGAGTGAGTTCCGGTATGTTTAGTAAAAGGTCTGATTTTGTGAGCAAGCTCATCAAAGCGGTTGGCCGACATGCGAAAATATTTGAAGTGCATTTCTTCATCAATAGCACGCATTTGTTGAACCAGCACAAACTCTCCCTCAGTTTTTCTTGACTGTTCTTTTACGATGTCGCTTCTTTTTTCGTTGCAAAAACAGCAATATTATTTCTTCCTCGAGTTCGAGGTCTTCCTCGTCTGACATTTTAGCAGAAATGAATTCATTTGATTCACAAAGAATATTAACACTGCTGCCAATGCACTACTTGATGTAAATGTCAATATAATTTTAAATTTGTATGCAGATTTCGCGCGACACATGTCGTAAGAAGTATAAATTAGCCTTTAGGTTCTGCCCTATCAATATGAACCTGAAGTGAAGGCCGAAACAAGTGAAGAAAGCGGTTCCGAACAGGAGAGTGAGCAGAGCTACTTGTCCTCGTCGGAAGATGAAACAGATGCTGAATTTGAGAGACCAAATGCTTGGCGCATTCAAACTCTAAGTGTGGACATTGTACTTTGTCGAAAAAGGCAATCGAGTGTTTTTGTTGCGTCGAAAAAGCGCTTGAATACGATGAGTATGAGGCTTTGCTAGACCAAACAGAAACTCAAGGAGAGTATTGCTTGACAACACATCAAGAATTTAGGGACAATATGCTGTCAGTAAGTGTGTTAAAGATAGACGTGTGTCTGTATCTTGAAGAAAACTGGCCCCTGTATGATGAAGATCTGGAGAGAATACACAAGCTGTATCGATTAGTCCGCATATCAAAGATGTTCTAGGTGGATTTTTCAAATTTTAGGGAATAAACATCGAAGACCATTTCCTGCTTATGCTAGCATACGAAAACGCTTCGCGTCACCAGACGGACTTTATACACATTTTAAATACGCATGTTGTCACGAAAGACCGTAAATTTAAAGTCTTAGACAGACGCTCTTTGATGTTCTTTGTTATGATCTGCAATTGCGATGCCATATCATTGTCGAAGGTTGTCACAAACTGTGCAAAAGCAAAATGCATGAGTGATCCACCCAAAACTTGTATTCATTCATAAGTTATAAAGTTAAAAGAAAAGTGTACTTGTACATTGTGCACGCAAACACGCACGTAAAACATTACGGATAAACGAAACTCTACAGTCAAGAACAAAACATAGCGGCTTAGAGCTTATCACCTATATAAAACTACATAATCTCGCAAAAACTCTTATGTATATAAATAATAAATTAAAAGTATAACTCTTTGTTGGTCACAGGTTTGTAATATGGGGAAATTAAATATTTCTATTGAACGAAATGTTCAGTGTACAAAACACGCTTATTGTTGTCTGGGCTTACACTTGGTATGTCGCGAAAGCCTAGTTGTAAGATCTGCTAAAATAAACGTTTCTACGTCTTATAACGACTAAATATTGGAAAAGTATATAAGCGTGATATACTACACAAGTCTTGTTAATCTTAACAACCGCCGACTGTTGTTTTTGTTTTAAAATTCCAGTGAACAAATGTGCTATATATTATCATAATACTATTATTTTAGGGGGTGTTTACATGAATCCATGATGACTTTCGATCCGGAATGAACTCATTCCACTTTAAAAGAAATTCTATTGTATGTTTACATGAATCCGGAATGAGTCACAACTCGATCCGGATCGAGTTCATTCCTAGTTTCATTCCGGATCGAAATTTCATTCCGGATCGAAATTTACTTTTTATCTCATGTAAACGCGAATTGAGTTTCATTCTGGAATGATATTGTGTTAATGACGAAGCACGCATGTGCCATGGGTATTGTCTTCTGGCAAATTGAAGCTCGTAAGTAAATAAAGAGGCTAAATGGGTTAAAATGAGTGCGAAGAAAAACAACAATTAGTTTCATGTAAACACGGATTGACATCACGTTTCGATCGGGATTGAAAGTCATTCCGGATTCATGTAAACACCCCCTTATATTGTGTAATTCAGTTGATACCAGCCAATGACGTCAGTAATGTATTCCAGCATAATTTAGCATAAGGCTTTTTTCAAAAATGGCAGATAAGGTTCAACTTTATGTCAAATTTTCTCAACAGCAAAATTCAAAAGAGACATGAAAACACGAAATTAAGTATTCCATAGTTATCTATGATAAAAGTACGAAAAAAATACATTGCCATTGTCCTTTAAACGTTCAATTTAACAAAATTTTTGGCAAAATTAAGAGGCTAAATTAAGAACTTATGTATTTATGTACAATACTAGTTTGTGGCAAAAATAAATAAACTTTCTGATCATAAGTTCTACTTCCAAAAGGACTTTTTTAAATTGTTCAATGATGACATGAGTACATTGGAAATTTCAAATTCGCTCCGCCAGGTATTTGAATCACAAAAGTTAATGAAATAACACATAGTTCACAAATATATAATCTTGACGGGACTATTGATAACTGCCATTAAACTTCTCTAATATACAAACACATCACCACAAACTTACCTTGTTTCAGATAACAGTATTTTGTTTTTAGTAAGGAAATGGTTGTTTTTTGTATTTGAACTTCGTTTGATTGATCTACAATTACAGGATTAGCTACAAACTTCAATGGGTTATCTAAAAGAGATATAATTTATGGCATTAGAGAGAGAGTGCAATTTCTTCAAATTGAATGTAGCTAAAAGAGTTTATAGTTGTAAAACAATTTCCATTTATTGTTACATTTATACATCGTAAACACCCACGATGATTGTTTACCTTCAACAAACCTTTCACTGGTTGACGGTTTTCATGTTTTCAAATCTAACGCTTTAAAAGGTTAAGACTCTCATGCAACCTTTTAGTCGATACGTGGCAAATTTTATGCCACGTATCATAAATCATCATAAGACAAAGCATGTGATTTTTATTGTTTTTTTTTCTGTCTGTTTGATTATAATTTGGAGCAAATTGATCGCTTGGTATGAAATAAGCAAACTTTAACGCATTATCACCGCATAAGCTGACTATACAAAGGACTCTTTAAATGTTTGCTAGTTTCTATATAGTGCATGTATATACTCATATGTTTCAATAAAGGCGATTGTCAAGCATGGATGGTTTGATTCTACATTAGCATATCAGCGTTGACCATAAAATATTTATTGTCTTCGGGTGAATATGTCTGAAAACGCATGTGTTAAAATTCTTCACTATCCTTCTCAAACATACAAAGGCAAATGTCCTATGTCACGTGTGTGACCAACAAAAATTGACCGTTTTCTATGTTGTTCTAAGAAGTAGCACGAGTTGACTCTGATACGGTTAAATGATGAAAAATACATGAAATATTACATTCAATAATCCTAATTCAAACTGAAATAGAGACTTATTAACATATTGTAAAGCATCATACATAGTTCGTTTCAAAATGTTTTCACGCAGGTTCTACTTAAAAGAATCCCCTGACTTTGGGCCGTTTTCATTTTTCGTGCTTGTCATGTTTTACTACAATTAGTTGCTCTATTGCACTTTCGATTTGCGAGCCGTTGGTAGTATTATATGTATTAAGGTAAGTAGATATTCAATAATATCGCCAAGTTAATGAAACTACACAAATTTTCCAATTATATAATCATAAAAGAACCATTAATAATTGCTAACAAACAATTCAACTTCCTTGACCACATCAACACAAACTTACCTGGTTTTAAATGACAGTCGATTGATCTACAATTACAGAATTAGATGCGTCTACGGGTTATCTAAAAAAAAGAAATATTTTGTGGCATTAGAGCGATACTAAAATTTATTCAAAGTGTATAAATGAGTTAATATATAAAAGATAAAGGTTTCTCCGGATTCTTTATAAATGAGTTAATATCTGTAGAACAATTTAGATTTATGGTTGCATTTATACATCGTAAACATGTAGATGATTCTTTGTCTTTTGTCTTACAAACCTTCAACTGGTCGACGGTTTTCAGATTTAACGTTTTGGCAAGTTAAGATTCATATGTATCCTTCGAGTCGATACGTGGCATATTTCATGCCAGGAATTAAATTTAAATCATCTTAAGAGTAGATTGTTATGTAAAACAAAGATACGGCGCATGATTTTTTTGTTTTCGTCTACATGTTTGATTATAATTGCGAGCAAATTTCTATAGGTATAAAAAATTTAAATTTTAACGCATTACCACCGTAAGCAAACTAAAGATAGGAATCTTTAAATGTTTGCCATTTTTTGTAGTGCATATATACACATTTTTGAACAAGGTCGAATGCAAAGCATGGATGATTCGATTTCACATGAGCAAGTGGCGTTGATCTTACAAAGTACAGGATATTTATTGTGTCTAAAACATTAACGGGATATGATAAAATTACTCTATTTCAGTATCCTTCTCACACATATAAAGGCAAACATCATGTACTTTGTCCCGTGTATGACCAACAAAAATGGAAGTAGGTTTGCTAAGTTCTTTAAAAAAGTATACGTGATGAACATTGATACGGCAAGTAGAAAAAATACATGAATTACTACATTCAATATACTTAATTTCAACTGAACAAGACGCCTGTAATGCGTTCACTAGGGATACTAGAGAACAGTATTTGGAAATGTTAACATATGATAATAGTCGTTAGTACAGTTAAATAGCACAACGAAATTTACAGCATTGCAATATATTACGTAATACATGTGCCATTAGTAACATTTGCGCATGAAACGATACAAGAAAAATATTGATTGGTTCAGGACTTCGTCGCAGTTAGCATTATTTGCGTATAATCTCCCGACAATGCATTAGAAATCGAATTTTAAGCTCAGGCTAACCTATGGTAGTCTGAGTAAAAAGATTTAGTAACTTAATGTAACGCATCATCTTAGTAGTTTGAAAGTGTTTTCATGCTGGCTGTATTTCAAAGAATCACCGCACCTTGAGCCGTTTTCCGTGCTTATCAAATTTGTATACAGCGACAAAAAGTTTATTCATTCAAGTTGACGTTGCATGATATTTCACATGATAACTTAGTCGGATTATGCTTGGCAACACGGTGTCGTTGTTTTCCGTTTCTATGTCCTCGAAAACAAATGGGAAGTAAATCTCATCAAAGGCAAGCCTGCTATCTTTTAACTTCGTCGTCAAACTGTTTCAAGACAGATTGGCCGGGAACGTAGAATAAGGATCAACAAAAGGCAATGGAATAATTACAAACGACTAATCAAAATACCGGCTTTTGTTGGGAAATCCACGTGACCATACAAACTTTTTGATGCTGATCAGCAGACTATATTTACAAAAACATAGTCAGCGATTCAGGCTAAATTGCACTTTCACTTTCGATTTGCAAGACGATGGAAGGAGCGTTAATGTGTTTGAATGTTTACGGCATAACAATGCTGTTGCTAGTCGCGTTAGGCAGGTGGTCGCTTATTACAGGTAGTTAATCTTTTAAGTAGATCTTATCTGTGCCAGGAAAATTTGTTGTTGATGGCAGGTGGTCCCTGGAATATAATTCCGTTTTAAAATACTTTTGAGCGAATTCTATTGTGAGTATTTTAGCTCCAAATTTGTGAAGAAATTTTTATTAACAATTTCAGTTCAGTAATTTCAGCTTTCTCGGGGAGTTTTCTTATTAAATTTTGCACCATTTTGCACCTCGTCAATCAGCTACACATGAAAGCTTGCTTGAAGTTAAAAATCAACAGCTACACTTCTTTGCAAACGCATAAAGTCTTCTTTGTTACATTCTTATTGTCATCGCTTTTGGATTCGAAAGATACAGCAAGCCCTTGTTAAACTGCCCGAGTAGCACCTCCTATATCCATTGTGACATTCTTAACTTGCAGACTGTTCATGTGCCTGTTTTATGACGTTGATTTGGTTTATCTTACTATAATTAAAAGAGTTTCCAGTGAAGAAGTAAGCTACCACCTGTTTTGATTTCATCTGACACCATAGAAATCATACAGAAATCATTTCATCGTACGCAAATATAAATTCTAAGTGGGAAGTTAGGTGTTTACACAGATTATTTGTATAGCGTCTCTTTGGGGTCATCCTGCATACTTTACGTACATGTGATTAGGAGTTACTTGGTTCAAGGAAAATTGAAACAAGTAAATTATCAATACTGTTTGCCACAAGGGACCGTGTACGATTTATATCTATCATTGCTTCGAATGGAAAAATGAACACACAACATAAAACAGAACATTTTGTAATGTAACTCTTTGTAAACTATAGTTTGACATCCCACTTTTTAACAAAAATGACGGCGAGAGAGAGTCACGTGACCATATATACCCAATCATTATGCAGAATGTAGACAACAATACGTGACTCAACTCTTACGAATAGAGAGCTCTGGTTCATTCTGGCTACTTGAGAACAGTGTTTGGTTATTTTGGGAATAAAAACTATAATGGTTGCTAATTAGCACAACGAAATTCACGGCAATGCAATCTAACATGTGGCAATATATTATGTATATAGTTCTAAAGATAGCAAATACCATAGTGAATAGTAAAAGTTGATAATAAGTTGATAGTATAATAAGTTGATAGTTCTTAAAAGAACTGTTTTAAGTTAACCGATCCTTTCCTCTGCCGACAAAAGGATTATGTTTCTAATTTATCCCTGTTTTGAGCGTCATCTCCCCTTTTGGAGATGACGTACACTCTTTCTGGGCATTATAAATATCGGTAGATTGTAAATTTTCATTTAGCAGACGTTGACACCTGAGGAGTAGTCTGCCGAAATGCATCGTGTCGTTTAATTTAGAACTATTGGTTTCGTGCTCTTTACTTAAAACAGTTCTTTGAAGAACTATCAACTTATTATATTACTTTTACCATTTACTATGGTATTTGCTATCTTTAGAACAATTTTCAAATTTGTCACCACGACAAAGTCTCTACTTTAATATTATGTATACTTGTCAATGGTGACACTCACGCATGAAACGATCCAAGAAAGATACTGATTGGTTCAAAGACTTTGTGTCAGTCACGCGAGAATTGTGTCATCTCGAGGCAATACAGCAAAACCGAATGTTAAACTCGGGCTAACCTAGGGTAGTCTGTATAAAAAGACTTAGTAACATATTGTAACGCATTATACTAGTAGTTTGAAAATGTTTTCATGCTGGCTGTATGTCAGGGAATCACTGCACTTTGGGCCGTTATCATTTTTAGGGCTTATCAAAGTCGACTTGCTCGCGCGCGCTTTCGATTTGCAAGCTGTTGGCAGGTGTGTTGAATGATGGGACAGGGCAACAAGGCGCATGTGCAGTTCTGCAACAGATCATAAAAACACTGCAGCAAGCAATTTTGATGGAGTCACACAAAAACAGGGTTGACATTGACTCCATAAACTGCATGCCATGTGCCAAAATACGAGCTACTGAATAAATGATAGCTTGACAAAATTTACTGTTTACGGCTTAAAAATAAGGTTGCTAGTCGCGTTAGGCAGGTGGTCGCTTTTTACAGGTGGTTAATCTTTTAAGTAGATATTATCTGTGCCAGGAAAATTTGTTGTTGATGGCAGGTGGTTAGAAAAGTCGGGTTTCAATGTAGTTTGATTTCGCAAAGAAATGTTAGTTAACAGTTGGCAATATCTACTTTCCCTAGGTGTTTTCTTATTATATTTTGTGCCATCTTGCACCTCATCATTTGGTGTTTCTTCTACATGGACACATGTAAGCTTGTTTGATGTTAAATAATAATAGCTACATTTCCTTGGAAATACATACCTAGTAGGCCAGTATTATATTGCGAGGAAAGTCTTGTTTGTTGTCTTCCTTGCTGTCACCAGTTTCTGAGTCCGAAATTATTTTTTTTCCTTTCAGCCTGTGAATTGACAACGAAATTTTAATTGGGTACTATTAATTTTGGTTCTGTAAGAGGTCAAAATTTTGCACAAGGAGCTAATTACACTGTAAAACTTGAAACTAATAAAGAAGCTAAAGTAGCTGTAGCTCATGTTATTAGTTTAGGTAAAATTACAGTTTTAATTGTAATTACGGATAAACATGCACGAATGAGCTTTTTAGACCCCAGGTCTGCAGCGAAAGTCACCCCGTAAAACTTGAAGGCACACACCACTCCCGGCTCTGTATCGCTTCGTAGCTCTTTAGCGGTTCTAAAGACTCATTGCGCGACCCAACCGTTAAAAACATTCACAAAAATCAAAACAGAACTTACTAATGCGTTTTTATTCTTTACATTTTTAAAAATTCTTGAATTGCACTTTCAGACGATTGTACTATGTTTAAATAACAACAGCCGCCACATTCTTCGAACTTAAAAGTAGCAAGCTTGTTTGGCTTTATAGCCAATCAGATTACAGCATTTACAGTACAGCTAATAAGTCAAAACATACTCCGAAAAGCAAAAACATCCTCTATAAATATACTGCATCGCAATGACCCAATCCCAGATATCAATTTAAAATATTAAAGTTTTCATTTGGTTTGGCGTAGAATACATATCATGGATGCAGTGGGTGTTAGATTAAATTTCTGTGACTAGTGAGAGGATGTAAATACTGTGTCCTGAAGTCCGACTTTTCTGCTAAATACTGCGACCCTAGTGCCATAATTGGAATAGGAGTACACACAATATATTTGTTCAACAATATTTGTTTGAAAATCTGCAGCTCATATTAACATACTATGACAATGTTCTGCAGCTTATATTAACATACTATGACAATGTTCTGCAGCATATTAACATACTATGGCAATGTTCTGCAACATATTAACATACTATGACAATGTTCTGCAGCATATTAACATACTATGACAATGTTCTGCAGCATATTAACATACTATGACAATGTTCTGCAGCATATTAACATACTAGCACGACAAGTATGCCAACTTGTATATTACGCCTACAACTCTGGTTCAACCACCGCTGCAAGGATTTTGGTCTCGTTCCGGCAGGACTTAGAATTAAGTCCCCGTTAAATACACAAGAGGCTATTCAGATTGTCAAATCCACCAGCAGACGACTGATACGAGCACGGATTAACGACTGTCACAGACGAATCAACTATTACATCAAACAACAAGACCAAAGACTGAACAAACTGAAAGAACTCATACCAACGACAGTAAGTGATACTTTACTTTCTACGATACAAACTATTGCAGAGAAACGAGCAAACAAGACAGAGACACAACACCAAATCAAACAACAACAAAAACTTGAACGTTTAAAACAAACTAAAACACGTACAAGACATAAACATGACGATAACTGGGTGAGGAATATTTCTTCCCGCTCATTAGACGAAACTGAAACGCGACTACTATCTTACGGACTAAAACATTCCATAACACCTAGACGAATCCCGAATGAGACGATAGTATCAAGTGTCGAGGCTGTCCTAGCGTATCAAAGAGACTTGTCAGAGACAACCAAAGACGAGATCAGAAGCAGAATAGCCTCCACTTTACAATCGTCCTCCATACGTGACAACAACTTGACAAAAGACGAACAACAAGCACTCAAACGACTAAAACACGACAACAACATCGTCATTTTACCAGCAGACAAAGGACGCGTGACTGTGGTCATGGACAGGAATGATTACTTTAACAAAATGGACACCCTTGTTAACGACAGACAAACGTACGAACAACTCAAACGAGACCTAACACCATCACTAGTACGCAAACTTAACAGCAAGATCTTCTCTATGAGAAAATCTAACATTATATCTGAACGTATTTACTATCGACTCAGATGCTCTGTACCACGACCACCCAGACTATACGGACTACCAAAACTTCACAAACCACAAATACCCATGCGACCAATTGTATCATTCTGTGGTTCGCCTACTTAAGAACTTTCAAAGTACTTGACTGACATACTGCAACCACTTACAAACAAATCAAAACACAAGCTACAATCCACTGAAACTTTCATTAAAAAACTGTGCATTATACAAATACCGGACAACTATATACTAGTGTCTTTTGATGAGAAATCACTGTTCACCAGCATTCCACTTAATCTGGCACTTACTTGTACAAAAACCCTCATTACAAACACCACGGACGTACTGCCATTACCGACAGAAGACATTATGGAGCTACTGGAAATCTGCCTCACATCGACTTACTTCCAATACAAAGGAACACACTACAAACAGTTACATGGGACAGCAATGGGCTCGCCCGTTTCTGTTGTAGTTGCTGAAATTGTAATGCAATCTATAGAGGAACGGGCGCTCACGACTTACAAACATGCACTACCTTTTTGGTTTCGCTACGTAGATGACACAATCACAGCACTACATGCAGACGACATTGATGACTTTAAATTAAATGAAGATATGATCTTCGCACTTTGCTGGACAATTTAAGCAATCGTCTCAGGACCTGAAAAAATCAGGTGACTCAACGGGATTCGAACCCATGACCTCTGCGGTGCCGGTGCAGTGCTCTGACCAACTGAGCTATGAAGTCACACAGTGGTGAGCAGGTCAATATTGTTGGTGATATGATCTTCGCACTTTGCTGGACAATTTAAGCAATCGTCTCAGGACCTGAAAAAATCAGGTGACTCAACGGGATTCGAACCCATGACCTCTGCGGTGCCGGTGCAGTGCTCTGACCAACTGAGCTATGAAGTCACACAGTGGTGACCAACAATATTGACCTGCTCACCACTGTGTCCAACAATATTGACCTGCTCACCACTGTGTGACTTCATAGCTCAGTTGGTCAGAGCACTGCACCGGCAACGCAGAGGTCATGGGTTCGAATCCCGTTGAGTCACCTGATTTTTTCAGGTCCTGAGACGATTGTTAAATTGTCTGCGAAGATCATCTTCATTTAATTTCAAACACCGCACTGCATAAAACATTCATACGACATTCCTTTCACGAGAAAACATGAGCCCAACAATATTGACCTGCTCACCACTGTGTGACTTCATAGCTCAGTTGGTCAGAGCACTGCACCGGCACCGCAGAGGTCATGGGTTCGAATCCCGTTGAGTCACCTGATTTTTTCAGGTCCTGAGACGATTGCTTAAATTGTCCAGCAAAGTGCGAAGATCATATCTTCATTTAATTTCAAATACCGCACTGCATAAAACATTCATACGACATTCCTTTCACGAGAAAACATGAGCCCAACAATATTGACCTGCTCACCACTGTGTGACTTCATAGCTCAGTTGGTCAGAGCACTGCACCGGCACCGCAGAGGTCATGGGTTCGAATACCGTTGAGTCACCTGATTTTTTCAGGTCCTGAGACGATTGCTTAAATTGTCCAGCAAAGTGCGAAGATCATATCTTCATTTAATTTCAAATACCGCACTGCATAAAACATTCATTGATGACTTTCACACTCACATCAACAAACAGAACAGCCACATACAATTTACCAAAGATGTCGAAGAAAACGGAACTCTTCCTTTTCTCGACTGTTTGGTAAAACATGACAATCAAAAACTACGAACAACAGTTTATCGCAAGCCAACACATACTGACCGACTATTAGACCAATCATCTTACAACCCTACATCACACAAAGCCACCACAATCAGAAAATTAACAAGACGTGCACAAATCATATGTGATTCACCGGACGCTCTACAAAACGAAAACAATTATCTCAAACGTGTTTTTGACAAAAACAACTATAACTCTGACTTTATCAAACGCAACACTTACAAACCCAACGAACCCAACGAAACGAACAACTCAGTGACAACAGCAACGATACCTTACATCAAAGGTACGTCTGATACTATCTCGCGTATCTTACGACCATACAACATACGTGTCGCACATAAACCAATCACAACGTTACGACAAGTACTAACAAACATAAAGGACAAAGAACAACCCAACGAACAACAAAATAAACTTAAACAAAATGAACTTCAACATAAGACTTACTGAACACAAACGAGCTACTAAGAAACAAGACAAAACTAATCACATTGCCGAACATCACCGAATCACAAAGCACAACATTGACTGGGACTCGGCAAAATGCATTACTTACAGTACTGACTATAGACAACGGCTTACATTAGAAATTTGATATACCAACTTGGAACAAACCCCCCTGAACAGATCACAGCAATTACCGACATCTTACAAACGACTTATTCACAATACAAACAAACGATCAACCAAAAACATTACACTTCACACTAATTCACAATGACAATACACAATTGACACCCACACATTACAACTAAAAACATCACACCTAAATCACACATCACAACTAAAAATAAAATATTTCACTTCACACTAATTCACAATGACAATACACAATTGACACCCACACATTACAACTAAAAACATCACACCTAAATCACACATCACAACTAAAAATAAAATATTTCACTTCACACTAATCCACAATGACAATACACAATTGACACCCACACATTACAACTAAAAACATCACACCTAAATCACACATCACAACTAAAAATAAAATATTTCACTTCACACTAATCCACAATGACAATACACATTTCCTGTACACACAATACAATGATGTAAGAACCAGATAACAAATACGGCTAACCTGATGTTTACTCCTCATTTGACTCTGAAGATGACTACCGCTAAGGTTGTTGAAACGTCAGTCAACAACAACAAAAACAGTCCTTCTCAGGACTTTATTAACCTGGACAATCATCATTTACAAACATGTAATAAGTTGGAATTTGACAGTATTGTGATAATGGTAGAGGTTGTATATTGTATTTGCAATATCAAGAAACCCTTCAATTTTGAGATTTTTTGAAAGTGTGCTATGGATTGAAAACACGTCAAAATTTATTTCGCTTTATTGCTCAACATTTCAATGTTTCTTCAGTAAATTTGAACCACACCTGCACTCACTCTGCACCAAACACCCCCAAAACAAAAAAACTACCCCTAACTTCTGGATGTCCAAATAGATTGGAGGTTGTTTATTTGCTGATACAGCTATCATAATATCAGAAGAAACAGGGGGGAGTTTTTAACAAAAAAGTTGTGGAACTTGCTGACAAGTGACATTTATTCCTTTCATGTTTTGGGTGGACCAATAATGATTAACCAGGCCTTAAGAAATGGATTAGTAGCGTTATAAACAACTAAGATTCCGGGGAATTTTGGGTTGTTATCTTTTAAATCATGTCATTATTGTATAATGCATTGTGTAAACAAAATAAAATTCAAAATATGTATTGGGTTGTGAAGCAACAATGTTTGTTTAATCGTTGTTTAATCAATGGAAGTTTTACATACTTTAAACATCTTCAACCCCTGCTTTTCCAACACCAAACACTTGTCTTCAGTGAGTTAAACTTTCAGATATTTCATGAGATAACGACAAATATTGATAATACACCCGCTTCGTCTTAGGCATATGGCTAATAGCCGTATTTTAGTGCTAAAAAGTACAGGCTGATAGCCGTCAAAGTACACGTACGCTGTACGTTCGCGCCAGGCTCCTTTGATGGTTACCGAGCACGGCCTTCGACAGGGGTCTGGTGATTAATAAACATAATCTTTTCTCTTCGCGTTGTTTCAAACAAACTAGACTATATTGCACACCAAATAGACTCTTCTGGTTCATTTTAAGCAGGATAGGAATCATGTCAAGGTAAAATAATGCTATCCATTGTGATAATTTATTAACAAGCTCATTTTCATTCCAAGATGTATTCTACTTCTATATAAATCTATTTTATAAAGCTTCTTATTTGTCTACATCGCTGTTTTATAACTTTTTCCATATCTGCTTGTTAATCTCACCTTATGGTGAGCATGCATATCTCTGTGCTATAATTTGTGCCAAATTTAGACCTACAAACCGCAGTAATGTTGTAAATATTGTGGTTTGTTCGCATACGGATTTTCCCTAAATCGCGGGAAATTATGCGGGGCTTTCCCTGAGTATTGCAATACTCAAGAAAAAGATAGTTCCACATGGTTGCAATAACGAATTAAAAATTTTCTTGACTCTTCACTCACTTTTCAGCTTTTCAAAACGGTAGAATTGTCCATCAATAGTCAGCCAAAGGAAATCATTTCAAAAGACTGCAAGTTTTACAAAATTTTGAAATAAAAAATAAAATTCATTTACTTTTTTAGTGGAATGAATGGATACCAATTATTTTGTAAAGAAGAAGCTTCTAACGATGGTGAGAATAGCTACGTACACAAAGTTGTCTCTATTAAAATTATGCACATTTTTATTTTTTTTTTAGACTCCTTAAAGTCTTTGACATTTCACGTTAGAAATATTGAATTGGGACAACGATGGCGCTGCCTGGATGAAAGCCAACGAGAAGGCTATATAAATAGGGCAAAGACAGATTGCTCTGTTTTAGACCACGAAACGCGCAAGAAACGAGAGTTGAAAAAAATTTTGAAGAAGGTATGTTTATTGGGTCAAAATAAACTCACAAAATTATTTTTGTGATTAGTTCCAATTTTTATTAATGCTATCGGTGCCATTGTTTAGTTGGATGCTTTGAAAGGAATGAACATTGATTACTTTTTCGTGGCTGCCGTGGAATCTGGTGTTGAAGTGCATGGCTCAAAGTCTGCCTTACAATACTGCAAAAGAAAGAGCATCCCCGCTTCATTTTATGCTTTTGTAAACAGCTCTGGAGGTTTGTGGTCCTTACTTTACATCATGCCCGTGAGGAAATACATTTTTCTTCTCAGGACAACCGAGAACTTGTGATTTTTGTTTCTTATTTAATATTTTAATCTAATACAAACTTTTTGGTTGTAGCAATTGAGTCAAACGACAACGTTGAAACTGTTACCGATAATCGCATGGCAAGATTGAAACAGAGGAGGAAATCTTTGCGTGATATTTTAAATCAGAAATACTTTAAGTATGAACATATAACTAATTGTAAAACTTTTTAGATGGAATATGAAAAGGTTGTTCTTGGTCAATATTTCTTGAAATAAGTACAATTACTTATGCAGGAAATTTTGTAATATTTGAAGCAATGATTAGTAAAAGAGGTTGCACACAATCCTGCAGCAATTTCAGTAACAATAGCTTATACTAGTTTCAAAAAAAAATGCATACACTAGGTGAAGCAACTGGAATGGACAAAGCAAAAGTGCCATACACTTCTCTTTTGAAAGGGGATTTCAAATATGTAGTATGCGGAATTCCAGAACACGCATCATTACGGGATCCATCGACTATGGGAGAAGCAGCATTGGATTTATTTATTGAAAAATCAAATGAGATTACGTTTGTGGAAAGGGAGATAGTGGAAGGAAATAATGTTCTTCATGCAGAAAATGTTGAGGAATGTGACAAAGAGCAAGACAATGGCGGCCACATCCAGAAGTTGTTGAAGTTAGTGGTGAGAATGATAATAATAGTCATGGCGAACTTGTTAACAACGTTTCCGACGAATATGATGTTGGCCATGGACAAAGAACTGATAATGTTAATAATGGTTGTGAAAATGGTGATGTTCCCGGTGATAGAGATGTTGTAAATAATGGTGGCGATGATGATGGTAATTCTGGGAATGTATTTTGTGGACGAGACGGAACAGTTAATGAAGGTGACGGAAACCTTGTAACAGAAAACGCCGTGCCTAAAAAGTTGATAAAGAGCACAGGAAGGGAAGAAGTAACAACAAAAGAAAAGAAAGAAGCAAAGTCCAGTGACAGAGAAAGTGTGTCTTGTGCAAAGAAAAGAGCTAGTCATTTGACATCCTATGACAAATGTAAAGCCTTTCTTTGTCAAGAACCATCTTCAAAGATAATGGAATGGTGGATTGGGTGTTGTGTGATGTTTGTCAACAATGGTACCATTGGGATTGCGTTGGCATTACGACGAAGCCGAAAGGAAAATTTGATTGCGGATGCAATGTATCTTACTTTACTCATGGGTAAATTATACATCCACTTTTTCTAAACTACGAACTGTTATTCTGTTCATTTTTGCGCATCACCGATTTATTTGCATACGTATTGATAATAGTTATTAATACGTTCCTCGTGCTCTTAAATGTTTTAATTCTAAAATGTGAGTTTCTTGAACACACACGAATAAATATATTTCATTTCTTTTGTCTTTTCCTTGACAGATCTGCGAAAACATTTGACATAAATATAAAGGGAAATCGCTCATTCAGAGGATTAAAGGTTCTCTTAGAATTTAAATTATTTAATATCAGTTGCAGATAAACATACCTATAATATTTTAACATTGAATTTTAGGCACATTTAACAAAAATCGTCAACGGTGCGATAACCAGTAAACGCCACAGGTTATTTAAGCAAATGATCCGTGGGCGAAATCAAGCTCAGACTGAACTCACCGATCTCTACATGACGTGTCCTTTAACTCGAACTCAAGTATAAAAACACATTCTCTGTTAGAAATGGAGCCCCACTAGTGTCTTAACTCTTCATTTTTGTATATATAGGCAAACGATCTGTTGAATGTAGTCAAAGAAATAGTCACAGATATTTTTCGATCCTTTGATGAAACAAATTCAATGAACATCAACTACGTGTATAACGTTTTATTCCATGAGGTTTGTTGTTCATCTAACGCCAAATTCCAAGACGTTTTTTTGTTGTGAAAGCTATGTGACAGTGAAACTATGATATTTTATATAGGCCTGCATATATTGTATACGAAAAACTGAGCGTTGTCTCCGAAATAACGCTGAAAAATTTATAATTGTGCGAGTGGAGTTCAAGACGGTGCAGACTCTGAAAGTGACTAACCTTGTTATCTACCGAAGTACCTGAAAGCTGTAGTGGATCTTGTAGTGGATACTCTTATGACTCAATGTCGTCTAAATATACTATTGACGATGAACTAGCGCTGTTTTTATAGTTTAGGTTTACTGAATAAGATTTTCTTTTTTAGCTAAGTTCTATCACTTTATCAAAAACTAATGAATTCTTGTACAGGAAACAATTATACTTCAATTTTGTCTACAATTAAAATAAAAGATGCTTTTATTTAACAAAAAGTTTTTTTCAACGCATTTATTATCCAGCGTACGTACGTTGGATGGCTATTACCCACGTATATATAACATCCATTTTCACCATATACTACATTGTATAACTACCAAAAAGTTACATACGACAGTTCAACAAGTATTTATTCAACAAAATTTTTTTCAACGCATTTATTATCCAGCGTACGTACGTTGGGCGGCTATTACCCACGTATATATAACATCCATTTTCACCATATACTACATTGTATAACTACCAAAAAGTTACATACGACAGTTCAACAAGTATTTATTTAACAAAAATTTTTTTCAACGCATTTATTATCCAGCGTACGTACGTTGGGCGGCTATTACCCACATATATATAACATCCATTTTCACCATATACTACATTGTATAACTACCAAAAGTTACATACGACAGTTCAACAAGAATTTGTTCAACAAAACGTTTTTTGCAACGCATTTATTATCCAGCGTACGTACGTTGGACGGCTATTACCCATATATATATAACATCCATTTTCACCATATACTACATTGTATAACTATCAAAAAGTTACATACGACAGTTCAACAAGTATTTATTCAACAAAAAGTTTTTTGCAACGTATTTATTATCCAGCGTACGTACGTTGGACGGCTATTACCCATGTATATATAACATCCATTCTCACCATATACTACATGTATAACTACCAAAAAGTTACATACGACAGTTCAACAAGTATTTATTGAACAAAATTTTTTTTAACGCATTTATTATCCAGCGTACGTACGTTGGACTGCTATTACCCATGTATATATAACATCCATTTTCACCATATACTGCATTGTATAACTACCAAAAAGTTACATATGACAGTTCAACAAGTATTTATTCAACAAAATTTTTTAACGCATTTATTATCCAGCGTACGTACGTTGGGCGGCTATTACCCACGTATATATAACATCCATTTTCACCATATACTACATTGTATAACTACTAAAAAGTTACATATGACAGTTCAACAAGTATTTATTCAACAAAAAGTTTTTTTTCAACGCATTTATTATCCAGCGTACGTACGTTGGGCGGCTATTACCCATGTAAATATAACATCCATTTTTACCATATACTACATTGTATAACTACCAAAAAGTTACATACGACAGTTCAACAAGTATTTGTTCAACAAAACGCTTTTTGCAACGCATTTATTATCCAGCGTACGTACGTTGGACGGCTATTACCCATGTATATATAACATCCATTCTCACCATATACTACATGTATAACTACCAAAAAGTTACATACGACAGTTCAACAAGTATTTATTCAACAAAATTTTTTTTTCAACGCATTTATTATCTAGCGTACGTACGTTGGGCGGCTATTACACATGTCTATATAACATCCATTTTCACCATATACTACATTGTATAACTAACAAAAAGTTACATACGACAGTTCAACAAGTATTTATTTAACAAAAATTTTTTTTTAACGCATTTATTATCTAGCGTACGTACGTTGGGCGGCTATTACACATGTCTATATAACATCCATTTTCACCATATACTGCATTGTATAACTACCAAAAAGTTACATATGACAGTTCAACAAGTATTTATTTAACAAAAAGTTTTTTTCAACGCATTTATTATCCAGCGTATGTACGTTGGGCGGCTATTACCCATGTATATATAACATCCATTTTCACCATATACTACATTGTATAACTACCAAAAAGTTACATACGACAGTTCAACAAGTATTTATTCAACAAAAAGTTTTTTTCAAGGCATTTATTATCCAGCGTACGTACGTTGGGCGGCTATTGCACATGACTTCGTAACAACTTTTCAAGTGCCCTTTACGTAAATTGATTTTCTAATTAAAGGATTTTCAAGAGCTTAAAGTGCCTGCACAATCCCCGTTATACATCATCGCTGGTGCTTTCATAGTCGTCTTCACTTGTTTGATCGTCTTCAGAATCCACTTGTTCATATACAACCACTTTTTCTTCGTCATCCAGAGCCGACACCAGATCACTTTGAAGCATGTCAACATTCCCATGAAATAAATACTGTGGTTTGTCTTTGTTGATGTACAAAGAAAACCTTTTTTCTAGATCTATCAACATGCTTTCAATTTGAAAGATCTTCCTGTGTAAAAATATCGCTTCACCGTATTCAACATCAAGTACGTTTTCATGGTTAATAAAACTATTCAAAAAGTCAGTAATCTTGCTGTGCTGTTGAAAGTAGTGACTCCACGTATTTTCCATTTCTGACTTCAACAGGATTTGCTCTTCCTTGGATCGGTCAAGCAAATGGCATAAATCTATAGCCTTCCGTTTAACAGTAAATGGAACTGAACAATCTTCATCAGTAGGTGCAGCTAGATATTCACACCAAAATCATTGTCAGGATCTTTGACAGCATCAAATGTTAATGCGGTATGTGAATGATTAGAATGTGATTCTTTTGCCTCGTTATAAGCTGCGATATCTTTATTGACATCCTTTGTTACTCGAGTAATTTGCTTCGAAAGTCTGGATGCCAACGCTTGACCATCTGAAAAACAGAACAAACATACAGAGAACATTACAAAGAAGGCAACATGTAAAGTAATTTACAAACATTGCAAGTGGTATGGAACATTTATGAGATAGGTAGAGTTAACACAGTATTTAGACTTAAGATTTAGGAGAAACCATCTTTCAACAACATTTTTCCTCATTCGAGACAAAACACGTTTTTCTTTCCTAGACGCAACCTCGCGTTTTGCATTTTCGTACTCTGAGTCAGTATTTTGCCAGCGTGCAGAAATTGAGTTTTCCCTTTCCATGATCTTCAACTGCTCGTCAATTCTAAACAGTAAATACCAAATCATTACAAATATAAGGCACGGTCAGATAAGCACCTGCAAGTTGCATATACATCTCTACTTGTACGTACGTATAAAACAAGAAATAATTTTTATTCGATATTCCAACTTATTATTCACAATGTTACGACGTACATTAATAGCTTCAAAATTTTCCCAGTTCATTTTTCTAAATGCACACTGTTTAAGACTTTAATATCTCTAGGAACAAGTTCAACTTTTCGAACATACTTTTTCATCTGATTAAATCGAACAGTCAGTTCACTTGGATCAGTGCAACCATTCCATCGATGGTAAAGATCAGCGTACAAGTCCAGGTATATAACGTACTTGCATTTCCAATCTTCTTCTTCTGTAAGTTGTTGAAGATTTACGTATATTTGTTAAAAAAAGTTTTCTGTGGGCAAAACATTCCACATAATGAGCATCAATAATTATGTGTCAAATCTGTTCCATAGCTACAAGCCATTGTTTCTCAATTACTAACCAGTCTCAACTTCACGACCAAAAAAAGTCGATTCGTCCTTCATCCACTCACGAATATTATCTATTGAAATCCTGTGAGCTTTAGATAATGAAAAAAAGAAAATTTACTGCTTTCATGTGAGTCGTAAATAGTTCATATCCAAAATCGGAGTCAAATATAACCACACAGCAAATACAAACATATACTCACACGGAAAGCACCTGCATAACTTTTCAATATCTGATTTTGCAGTTTCTTCCACGTCAACAGCTCGCTTCATCCTTGCCATCAGCAAATTGCCTCAAAAAACAAAATTTAATTCATACCTGCTATTACATAATATGATGACATGTTAGCTATGTATATGTTCAAACAAAGAAACAAAAACTAGTTATACCTAAATTAATCTTCGTTTTCTTTCCATAATGTAAAAGAGCATCACTGAGTACATCAACTCTGTGACTTGGACGCATTTCTTTAGTCATTCTGCTAAATTTGCGAATGTAAGCCCACAATCTCTCAACATCTCACCGTCAGTTAGGCCAAATCCTTCTTTACGACGGGGACTAAATTTAACCTTTACAAGAAAGATTTAGCAAAAATTATTGATTTTTTATAATTTTATCATCTACAATACCATTAGTTATGACAGCATAAAAACCCAGGTATCACCATCTGTTAATACGTATGAAAAATAAAAACAATAACAACTAACTTGGCATCGTCCAACATGGCCATAGCAGTGAAAAATTGGAATTGAAAATTGAAAAATGTCAATAATTGGATCCTCCAAATTCTTTTTGTAAAAACAAAATAAAGAAAAACATGTGAAAGACTACCTTTTCAAAGAAAAAGTGTTGAGGGAAAGTTATTGACTAAGGAAACAGTTAACAAAGCAACTATTGTCAATTGAATATTACCTGTAAGTGTTTCACCAACATGCATGCAACATCATACAATATGTTTATTTTGAGTGCAGGTTTATCAGCATTATCTTTCTCTAATTCTTGGAGAACATAAACTGCATAGCTCAATCTATAAAATATGTAGAATATTTTTTTAAATAATGCAACCACATGTATGCAAAAAGCTTCAGCACTTGCACAAAGCAATGAAAGTAGCAAACCAACTGAAAAAATAAATTTACACCATCAAATGCAAGCATCTTAACCACCTCATTCAAACCAAGAACATTTAGGTAAAATAGAGAAAAATGTGTAACAGACCTCTCTCCATGTTTCAAATTTAAGAATTTTTAGGAAACTCATGTCGACAGCCTCGCCAAAGATTGCTGTTTCATCAAGAGCTCTGTAGCGATTCATTGATCGAACAGCATTCCCAGCAAGAAAACCATGACACTCCTATAAGTATCAGTATGTAACAAACAAAAAGTATACAAGAGCTTTATTTCCTAAAGCCCATGGCACAAATTTATTGAAAATAAAACTATGTGGTAGAGAATGTAAAAAATCAAATATATTCAAAGCACTGTAACTTCCATGCCTGAATTTTCATTAGAATAACAAAGTATATTAAAGCTACATTGACCTTGTTTGATGTAGGTGTGGTATAATTGGCAACAAATTGATCAACATGTGTCTGATCATAGAACATCAGCTGTTCAAATAGAGGTTTTCCAATACTCTGCCCAGCTTTTTCCTTCGTCCAATAAAAGAGCATCAAGAGACTCAAAGATCACACCATCAGTCTTCAATAAAATGGTGAAGGATAAAATCATGCAATGTATTTGAGTTCAATGATGCAAATGATGCAGTCAAAAGGTGTTTAAGATAGCATTGCTAATGTTCTTTTACTAAATTGTCATTGTTAAACGAGTAATCTGAATATACTCACTTTGGGACAAGCAGGACAGATATTTCCTTCATCAAGCTCAGGAATAACACAGCTCAACATGTTTAGTTTATGTCTGTAAATTCTGAAAAAAACAATGACACAAAGAAAGCAATTATGCACTCTTAAACAAATGACATAAACAAAATACAGTGCAATACAGTAATACTTGAGGAAAAATCCTTTCTCATCATAAACTTTAGCATTTTGATTTCCTCCAATTAAATACATCTCTTAAGATGAGATTCTTAGGCTATAAAATTGACTGCAACTTTCCCAGCAATTCATAATAGTACAGCAGTGCAATAAATCAGTGACCTACATGCAATTACCTGTATTCTTCAAAAGCATCTATAATGACAGGATACATTTTGGTGTTGCATAAGAAGAAAATATGTGTTGTGATTAAACTCTTCAAATGACTGACAAATGCTTTTTATTGATGCCTGGCATTCCATCTGCACAGAATGAACCAATTCAAAAAACTCAATTGCAATTCTTGGTTTTGTAGGTGTTCCACCCCAAAGGCCAAATTGCAGAAGTTGAACAAACTCGGAAGAGCATGAGCAAAACTGTACCTCAACAGTACAAAAGGTGCCTAAAAATTGAAAAAGATCCAAAATTATAATTGTGTTGAACCATCCCAGCTAAAATGAAGAAACTTTTACAGCACATTTTACATATAACATACCTTTAACATCAACAACAGAAACACTTCTTTTGTGACGAGCTGTTTGGCATGAACAATCATACACCAGCATGTTCATGAGTTTATATGGCCAAAACATGCCATCCTACAAAGCAATGAATAACCTCATAGAAATTCATTGTAATCAATCCCTTTCTTGCATTCATAAAAAATATTAGATTAGTGCTTCGTAGCATGTTTCACAATGTAAACTCTCATTTTATTTTTGCATTTTTTATTGCAAGTGTTGAGAGAGTTAACTGTAAAGACTTTTATAATATCTACCTCATAAAGGTTACCTAAAATATTTCAACATGATGACAAATATTTACGGTTGTGTGCATCTTTAACATACAGTTCTCACAATACTTTGCCATTGGACCACAATCGCTGCACCTAAACTTTGCTTCATTATCACAATGAATACACTTCCGATTGCTCCAATTTTTGCCAGCAAACTGAAATGTATTCTTTATAACTGAATGTCGCAAATTTTCCCATGCTTTTTGTTTTCTTTCAACTTTCTGGTAATAAGAAGCTGATTCTTCACAATCATGGCGAACATCACTTTCAAGATCACTGTTATCTTGTTCCATTCCCAGTTCATGGCCTTCCAATGCACCACAATTATCAGGACTGTTAATAGAACAGCTTCCTCTATGATCCTCAGTAACCAATTCTGACAAATCCACCTCCTCTCTCTCAACATGGCCATCCTCATCATGATATGTGACAGCTACAGTTGCTTTAAACCTTTTATTTGTCCTACAAAATTATCATAAAATTTATAAAATGATAATAAATGTTGAAAAGTCTAACAGCTATAAGGCCGTTATTTGGTGTACCTTGGCATCTTTTAACATTACCAGTAAGAAAATCACAAATCAGAAAATATTATCGATATTACCAATGACACAATAACATAAGTTAATCGACCAAAGTACAACGTACGTATCTTCCACGACTACCAGCCGACGTTTTGTGCCCGTACTTTACCGGCTATTAGCCACGTCTCACAAGACGAATGGGGTGGATAATACAGACAGTGGAAGCGGCAGGACAGACGATTGTGTTCAGCGGTGCTAAGGAGACTACGCTTTTACGTCATGTAATTTACGCATCAATGTAAAACACAAAGTTGTATTTTTTGAGTTCTTTTACATCAACTTTAATTATTTACGGCTTTTCTATTGATCGATTTTTGTACTTACTGGTGTTCCATAATACTGAGATCTAAAAAATGATTTTCTGTCTTCAATTTTCCATTCGTCGTCACTCAGTCTGCTCAACATTCTGCTCCCCGACTTTTTCAACACAATTGATATGAATGAGATCGGATTTCTTTTGCGAGAAATCTGAACTATATTTGTTAAAAGCAATTTTCCAAACGGTTAATTAAATTGAAAAGTCGGCGGTAGTTTTTTTTTGTTCTTGAAAATAAACACAGACGCGTGCACAATTGCACGACAAGGAGAAAGTGGTTTCCGCTTCCCCAGTCACACTCACACTCATGGCTGGAGTAAACAATCTCCGGCGAGCGTCGTTCTTGGTGAACTGACAACGATTTTGTCGATCCGATTAAAAGAGTTCCACAAATATCTGTCGCTGAGGTACGTAAGATCTTCATTCCATGAGTCATAGTTCTCCTAAAGGCGAGAGAACGCTTTTGTTTACATTTGATAACATGCAAAACATTTCAAAATCTACTTTACATTAACGTCATCGGGTGGCAAGCCATGACTGTTGGCATGACCGATGTAACTGATTTCCTTTCATAATAAAGATGCCTAATTGTAGATACTTGTACTGTTGCCCTATTAATAAGTGGATATTTCCGTGTTTTTCATAGTTCATGTGACGTCAAGCTTCGTTAAACACTTATTTTAATCGTGGTGAAAATGAACATGGAGAAGACGACAATCTTGTTACACTGATTCAATTATTATCGACGTATGAATAAACTGCTTTAGATAGCTAATAAATGGACTTCGCTGTGGCGATGGCCGAGTACAGGAGTGCGGCCCACAAAACGATCTTAAAGAAACAGAAATCGCTGCCTTTGAGCAAGAACAAAAATGTTCACTTTGCAGACGTTTGTGGTCTATCGCTTGTGTCGGTTCACCAAATATCTATGGACGATTTGACTATCTTACCTTCGAATTCCTCCCTGAAGAACGAAGTCACACAAGAACTTGTGCTTACGTTTCCGCAGCCAAGTGCCTTGGATAATTTCTTAGAGCGTTTAAACAGACTGAACATCTCGTTGGAGAATGTCCTTGTATCTAATTGTGCCATTATGGGCACTGTTAAAGTCAAAAACCTTGCGTTTGAGAAGCACGTTTTCGTGCGTTGTACTTTTGATCAATGGCGTACGTATGAGGATCATATGGGCAGTTATGTACCTTTATCTCACGATGGAAATTTCGATCGTTTCTCTTTCGCTATTGCTGTACCACTCACAATGAAAAAGGGCGATCTCATGGAATTCGCCATATGTTACAGAACTGTATCTCCCTTAACAGAATGGTGGGATAATAATGATGGAAAGAACTATGTCATCGAATATCGACAGAAAATTGTTTCTAAGAGTCCTTCCTACAGTTTGCTTTGGAGCGAACTTATTCCCAATTTTAGACGTTAATTGTAATGTCTTATATTGTTGAATGGTTGCAGCATCGGGTCAGGTCTCATTAGTCATTATCTGACCGCGCAGTGGTAGAATTATTCATAGCAATAGTTGTCATTCGCTATATTAGTAAAGTTCGCAAGTACTGTTTTGTAATAAAAACAGTTCTAAAGAAATTAATTGTCATTATTTGTATACCATATTCTCTGACAATATATTACATGTTATTTACAGGAATGTATATGTTAATTAACTAAGCATGATAAATATGCACATATTACATCTAATTTAACATATTACAATCCAACCAATATAATATTTGATTATAGAGTAAATGATTTTTATCACAGTAACCCAAAACATGTTTAGTTATTGAATAAATTATACCAAATCAGGCCATAATATCAATAGAATATATGGTAAATGGCTGATCCAAAAATATCAACATCTGTTGGAATTTTGGCTTTTATTATTTCTTTTTTGCCCAATTCAAGTCATCTACCCGAGGCTTGTACCCAGTAGTCTTTGTGATACACCATTCCAATGTAGACCAAAATTTTATGAATTCTAAAGGATAGTTAAGCCATCCTGTGGTTATACAAAAATAGGTTTCATGTGGCGATACATGGTGTATACGATGATGACTTCTAGGCAAAATAATCCTGTAGTCTTGTAACATTTGTACCCATGTTGGTGAACCAAAATATGTATGAGACCATTTGTGAATCTGATTGGTTAATGCTACAAATACTGCCAATGCAAATATGTACCAATCCCACATGAAATGTCCCTCCTGGATGTGGCTATTTGTCATGTAATGTTTGTAAACTATGTATGATAGGAAAGGTAAAGTTATTAAGCAGTTATCGCCATTGGTCTCCACAATATCATGTCTCGTCAATGCTGTAGGGTCGATGTGATGTTCACGAAATGGACGGATAAATGCCTACAATGAGGAAGTTAGTTGTACATAAATAAACATATTTTGAAAACAAAAACTATGATCAGTGAAATTCATTAGAGATTTAAACAAACAAACCTGGCCAATAATGGGGAGATCAACTTGTCCCCAGCTGTCTGCAGCCCAATGAACCAAACCAGACAGAAAATCAGCACTTAGAATGCCCAAAGCTAAAACATGAAATTTGTCATATGTTTGAACCATTCCGTGTTTTGTTCAGGAATACTGGTACAACATACTACTCAGTGATCATTTCATGCTGTGGGAAAAATCTCTGTGGGAAAATCTTTGTGGGGTGGTTGAACAGCTCCCCCTACTTCAAACAAACAAACAAACAAACAAAAAATTGGAATCGGAATCGGAATTTATATCAGAATTGTGTAAATGATTTAATACAGTCAGATTCAGGAATGTTATAACTTAAAGGAATTCTATTTTGAAATTCTTTTGCAAATCTGATTATTTTCGGGCTATTTTCCTATTATGTGATTGTCATAGACACTTAAATTTTTCCAGCTTTTTGTCCATGAGATCTCAGCAAAAATGAACACACTCTGTCTAGTTAATATGAAACCCCCAATTATCAATTGTGGAATTAGAAAAGACCAGAACAGGGAACTTATTTCTTTCAATTGCTTGATGTGCTGTGTTTGTCTGTTAGTTTATAAAAAAACTTACAAAGTTGCAATGGGTTGAGCATTACAAACAACAGATACAAGAAAATTGGTTAGTGTAAAATTAATCATGGAAATTGTTCAAGAAAGACTTTGTAAGAGTAACAGTAACAACGATGCAAATTTGTGGCAATAATATGGTAGCTACAACATTTGGATAGCGTGTGTAGCTACAAACTTTCTAACTCTATGGTGCATTCAATGTAATCTAATATGCCAAATATTTGGCAGGGAGTTTTAGCTTGTGTAATTTAATCCATACTAAACCTTGCCCTCTCTTGGTTGTAAAGCTTACATGGAATGTACCTTAGCTTCATCTAGTATCCTTGTTGTATAGTAAAAGAGAAATTGAAATACTTACAGGAGCCAATCACAACATAACTCAGGTCAGATAAATGAAAGTTTATCAACAATGACATAAACAACAACAACATCAATATCACATACGAGATGATACTGCAGTATTCGAGCAACCTTTTCTCTAAAAAAGAAACAAAATTTGAAACTCTATCGGCTCCTGAAATTAAACTGGAATACAATACTCATAAAACTTCGTCAACCACGCGTTTTGGTTTCGTAACCATAGTTATTATTGCTGCAGTTCAAAGTTCGACGTGGCGTGATTAGAAATTTATGGCAACGAAAGCATCTCGCAATGAATTTCGCGAGATAAATGAACTTGCAGAGACTTAATTTTTATTGTAATGCATTTAATGCCACTATGCGGCTTTTAATATGTCACAAATTAGCCGGCATTAGAATTCTGTATGAATTTCATAAATGAGTTGACAAGCGTTTTAAACCATTTTTTTCGGTAAATAGAATAGGCTATCGCTACAGACAAGCATCGGAAGCCGACATCATCTGTATACAGAAAAGTCTTTCATAACAAACGTGCCTCAAACAATACAAAAATAGACAAATTTTTCAACAACATATCGCTGCTAGCAAATTTAAACCTTTAGTGTAGCCGGCAGCAAGGATTTTCGCCCCTGTATGGTTCTTGATGTGACCAACCGATGCACGTTCAGACTTCGCAACTTCTTCGTGATCCATCATTTTAAAGAAAGAGCTGTTGGCATTATTGCACAGTCTGAGAAGTTTTCTCGATTTATTAATTCAACCCACGCCCTTTCATTAACGGAGATCTGCTTTCCTTGAATAATATACTACGCAGTATTTTTCGAGTGTTAATACCAGACTTTTATTGGTTGGATTATCTGCATTTAATTATTTCGACGAATTCGATTAGGATTAAGATTACGATTAGTTGATTGCACAAACGATTACTGATTGATTAATTTTTTGCTGTCGCAGCGAGCGATCACTAAGCGAGCGAGCAAGGCAGCAAACCGAAAGCTTACAGCTGGCAGCACCTTTCAGCCTACTAATCACATTTTCGCTAAAAGTATAGACCCAAAATTTAGTGCACTTAGACCCAAAGTGCAATGCGGTTTTCAAGTAAAATGAACGATCAAACAATAATAAGACTTCATACTTGTCAAAAAAGTCTTGCAGCTATGACGGAAAATACTGCGGTATTGTGCGAGGCACTGAATTTACTCCATCACCTCTGAAGAGTGAGAGCACAAGCAGATCCCTACATTACGAGAATATCTTAACAGTCCTAAACATTAAATAGCTACATAAAATCGATTACGAGTTGCCAAAAACTTACAAACGAGTTACCAACGAGTTACCAGCAAAAACTTACTTTTCTGTCTACTCTTTTGTCTACTCCTTTGTCTACTCTTTGAAAGATCTTATTGCACAGTCATAAATTATTATCATTTCTTCACAAAAACTAAATTTACAAAATGGCTTTATAGAAAATTGACATTCATCATGACACATTGCTCATCTGTTGAAATATAAATACGTCTCGTTATTGTTCGGCAGCATATACCACAGTGTACATTAATTTTTCATGGCTCTGCATTCAACTTCAACCCAAGTCTGTTTTAAACTTTTCTTCCATCTTTTCAAAAAAATGTGATCAAATTCTGCCCATTTTCTGGAAGTAAACTCGAACAAGGAGAGTTTGTCTTGGTCATGATGCGAGATATAGGCAAAAATCGATAAGAAGGCTGCTTTTGCCTTGTCTGACTATCGACAAAATGAAGAGCAAACAAGACTTGACCAACATAACTTAGTAGTAGAAAATATATAGATAAAAAATGTGCCGTCACTTTTAGGGTATTATGTTAAAAACTATAGTGAAAATATTGAATACTTTAAATGATAAACAATTCTGCTACCAGAGTCATGAAATGATAATTTTCTTGTAACTATTAGGGCATCCGAATACCTCGTAAGTTTACAAATTCTTTTATAAATACGAATTTAAAAAAGTGTTTGTGTTTGTATAATAAATAGTTAACCGTGGATATTCATACGACATCGGAACTTAATGTTCAAACGCTATTCATCCGACATAACTATTTATATCTTAAAAACTTAAAGGACACATGCAAGCTCGAAGACAACTTTATTTTATTGTAATGCCTATAGCTTGAAAATAAGACGTACCAAGTTTCAAAGTCGAGCGCAAAATATTTCAAAAGATATTTAGGGTTATAATCGGTAAAATCACGATATTCGATGACCATTCCTAAAACGTCGTGAGATTTTTTAAGTCTGGGAACTGGCAAAGAGTGACGTAATAGTTGACATAAACAAGCATCGTTCTTGTATGGTTCTACGGCTTGCACGGCTTTCTGTAGTTTGCTATTACTTTTTTTTATTTATCAAAAATTAATGGATTCTTCTGAAGAAGAAGCCGATTATGATATTGTCATCAATAACAATGAGGTACAACCTTACATGTTTGAGCCTTTGGCCAACGCGCAAGGTAGTCAAAATGAGGACAATTCTTCGTCATCGGAACGCGAAGATGAATTCATTCACAGAATTGGAAATATGAATGGTTAGTTGCATTTTATTGATGCTTCATTGTTTTTCCCAAAGTAAAAAATATGTTTTTATCTTTTAGGTGCGAGTGTGGCTTTTGTGTAGTCATGAGTACACGACGGGAAAGTATATGTTGCCAAGAGGTAAATAATACTGATCTAAAATAATCTAAAATAATAAAAGTGTCAATCGCCAATAATTCAAAATTATAAAATTGTCTTCAATTTGGTAATGCTATATAGCTTAGTTTTTGATAAATGTAAACAAATATTGCTAACTATAACTATAATATTTACCTCTTGCCTTCGTCTCTTCTCAAATGCAGTTCTTACATTTGTTGGCTGTTTCCTTTTAGATGCTACACTTGTGGGTTCCACAGAGTATTCAGAAATCGTGGGTGCAGCATCCTTCTTAAGGCGAAGCCGTCCTGCTGTCTATCCTACTGATTGCATCGCTTCAAAATTTTCCACGAAGTACGAACTCTCGAAATGTTGCGAGCACAATTTTGAGCTCTTTGTCCGCTTCCAATTTTGCGTCGGATCTTTTCAATCCAAATATCACGCATGCGCTTGTTTTCAGGAAACAAAAAAAAAGAAACCTTTTGCTGCGTTTCGTGGTTCTTAGAAGAACCGTTTTTACAATTAAAAGCGGCACAATAAACCATATTTTCAATGGTAAATTGTCGTGTTGTTAAGAAGTTACCAATATATTTCGAACGAAGCGCGCAATTGACCGCATTTAGCTCATGTCAACTATTACGTCACGACGAGCTTTTTCCAATCGGTAGCCGTCGTTAGCTCGTCGGGCATTTTCAATACGTTATCAGTAAAGCATCAACTTCAAACCTCCATAACTTCAAAAATATTTATCCTTTGAGTCTCAAACTTTGGTGAACTATTAGTTGGAGTTATACCTTTATGTAAAGTACAAAAAAAGCAATATGAATATTATGTTGCATGTGTCCTTTAAATAAACCTAACCTCAACCCAAACCCTAACACTAACCCAAACCCTAACCCTGACTCTAACCCTAACCTTAACCGAGATTATTGTTATAATTTTATGTTTTGGTTAAAAAATGAAAGATTAAGTGGATTTTGAGAAAAGACAAAATATTGAATAATTCGACAAAACCCGACATGCTGGGGTTGGGTTTCGAACTCGTATCCGTGACATAGGCTTCATTCCTTTTTTGTTGCCACTACAGGCTACGCAAACATTAAAGAAAAACCAAGCAAAATGTAATTTCATAAAGTGAGCAACATACATACAGGATGTCGGACGAATATCCATGGCGTAAATAGTTTTGATATTAAAGTAAATGGTTGAAACCCAGGAAAATGACTCTTTTGACTCTGAAGTTTCGACTACCTCTAAGGTTGTCGAAACTTCAGTCAACCACAAAAAAAAACAGTCCTTCTCAGAACTATACCAACCTGGATGATCTACATCTACAAACATGTAGTTTTGATTTTCTATACTCCCAATCGGGGTGAACAAATCCGGAGGGGTAACAAAATTTTCAATCCGTGAGCCCGCGTCTTTCCGCTGACTTTGAAGACCAAAATCTGCCATGTTTTTGACCACAGGAAGCGCGCTAATAATTTATAGTAATTTTGATGACCTGCTCCCTCCAGTCTTTATGTAACTTAATGGTCCAGTCTTCTTCATAGATCCAGTTCTTTATATAACTCAATGGTTGATGCACGAACTCCTGCGGATTGGCAGACACGATGTCAGTTGAAAACATGAGGATTATTTTGTTATTTTAGCAACAAAAGTTCAATGGAAGATTTAACTCCAAGATGAACTATTTAAAGAGATATGGCGTATTTTACAGAATTGTTGAAACATGTTGCTATTCATGTGATTTTTAGAACAAAACGCCTTTCTGTTATATTTTCAATTTATGATTCATTGTAAAATATTTTGAAAAATTATTGGACTGTCTTGTAAGATATTTTTTAAAACTAACTATGATAGCATTGAAAATAAAAAGTTCGAGACTCAACTAATACACTGTTATTTTTGAGGTGTTGAACTAGAACTTTTCTAGTGCTAAACTGACACCCACCGGTGGTGTTAAACAAAGGGTGTTATTATAACAGCAATATTGGTGTTGATTTAACAACATATGATCTTAAACATATTGTAGCGTGTTAACTTTAAACCTCAACACTTTAACACCAATGAATAGTGCTGAAATAGCACCTTGTGCTGCCACAAAGGCGCTAAAGTAACACTGTTTTTTGGTGTTAAGTGGTTGGTGTTAAATTAACACCATTAACAAGAGTTACAATAATTTATAAAGGGCGGTATTTCTGCACCACTCTGCTTGTAACATCATGGGTGTCAAAATAACACTTATTTTAACCGTTTTTTTAACTTATTTTTATACTTATATCAAACTGCAGCTGTTTTCGTTCTGACACGGATAACAGAACAGATGACTTATGCGTTCATTTAAACAGTTTAAAAACTTCCTAAAAAAAAGCGGCAATACATATGTTATATTAACCAGAGGTGGATTAAGCATGGATTTTTTATGGGTAACCTTGGCTTTGTGAGTTCATTAAAACTTAAAAGTAATAAGAAATGTCGTTTTGGCACACCTCAATGCAACCGTGTTGACCAAACCATAGATGGGTGAGCACCCCTGTGCACCTCCCCCCCCCCCTATAAATTATTCACTGATAATAAATACACAGGTTAAACAGTAAATAGAATAATTTATACCAAAGATAATCAGCTTTTTCGAAAGGCCATAATATATGCATTACGACATTACGATAACGCATGAATATGCTGTGTTCAGGAAATTAAAATTTATTCTACATCTATTTCATATCTATGGCAAATGTATTTTGTGTTACACTCAAATGGCTTTATCAAGTTAAATGGCAAATTAGGTTAACTCTTTAAAATATTTAATTTTAATTTCTCTTTATGTTCAGAAAACCTGACAGTCTGTTTTTTTGAAACATGGCATTTGCAACATTTTGGTTAATGATACAAACACCAATAACTTCCCAAAACTGGGGAAATTCAACATAATCATAACCAATATGGACAGTAGCTCCTACTTTATATTTCGTTCCATTGATAATAATCCATTTGGTACTAAAATTATAATAGGAAAAATATTAATATTATTTAGTTCACAGCAATTAATTTTGTACAAAAACTTTACTGAAAAGCAAGTAAATAAAGAGCAATTTTAAGCAATTTCATCATTCACAATGAAGATATTTCAGTCACCCGACTAATTACATCAATC